AAGCCAGGCAGACCCATTTGAGTTATAAGAGCGTTTTTACATTCCGCAAAGAACTCATCATAGGGTTGCTCCAGTTCTTCCGCAGCGCTCTTAATTTCATCATGCTTCAAAATCGCTCTATAACTGTTATTACTCGTTGTGAGCAATAATTCCAGCTCAGTCACATCCTCCAACCACTTGCTGTGTATATAGATAAAATGCTTCACATCCGCTTGGCTGTGACTTAGCTGGGAGCGCTGTAAGACTTTAACGATGTTATTCGTCATTTTAAATTTTAGCAATTAACAAAAAGTCAAAAACAGCTGTTCACGATGACGATAACGATGACGATTTCTATCGAGCTGTCTCGCATTGACCAAGTAGCCGGGGCATTTTGTACGTTGTCAACACTGAGCCATTTAGTAATAAGATTAAACAATTAATTGGTCATACCAGTCAATTACAGTTGTCCGCTTTTGTTGCTGCGATCTTGAAGTGCTTTTAGCTGATATTCGATAATATGCTTAATAACATTGTCAATTTCGCCAATTACTGGTGGTTTCGCTATCTAATGGTGAGTAATATATGTATGTATATTTATTGTGATATTAAATTTTAGTTTAGTGATGCTACAGTGGACACATGCACATACAAATGTGTGTATGTCAATATATTTATCTATATTTTTTTTATCATTCTGACCATTTCTATTTGGCACCAGGTGACTGAGCTCTATGTAGTGGAAAAATGGGAGCGTGTAACAATACGTAAGTAATAAACCAACAATCACAGTGATTCGTCATGGCTCATTTCAAGTAATTATTGACCACTGCTTCCTTCCTTCCACTAATTCMATTTTCCACAGACGCCATATTTATGATTCTGTTCTGTGTGTTCTGGTACTTCAACTACTCTGTGCTGCTTTCTTTGACTGGAAATCTATTTAAATACACGCCGATTGGAAACATTTTGCCTGCAGTGCCGCAAACTGCGGACATCAAAGTCACATAAAAGTATTTTGATGTTAATACACTTTCTCCAATTATTATTAAATAGTGCTTCGATGTCCAATTTAACTATAGAGCGAATACATAATATATACATATGTATATATCTTGTGGAAAACAAGTTCAAACTCATAAACTCGGCGTACGCCGTTATTCCTATCTCGCATAAATTCTGCCTAACTGTAAATGTGACCAAGCTTTATATCGCATAAGGATCGGAATCGATGTGATTCGCCCTTTAAAGTACCAATTGCACAGTTCTTTTTAGGCTAAATTAGAATTAAGCTTTAGGATTGCACGTTCAAATAAAAGCTGTAAATTTCGAATTCATTGATAATATCATTCTTTACCAAATAGTCCATACGCAATCTACGATAAGCCTTTTATCGAGCCATGGGCAATTAAATAACGTTATCTCAGTTTGTTTTTTGTTTGTTTGATTTTTGTTTTATATACTTTACTTTTGCACTTCAATGCACTAAATATTACAATTTCATTACAAAAATATATATAGCCTATTTGTTATTAAATGTTTATGTGTATTAAATAGTAATTGTATTTGTAAGATTTTATAGAAAAGTTGTGTACTGCCTTTTGTTATTCGAGTGGCCGCACATTTAAGATTTACGATTAGAATCAAAATGCTAATAGCATTTCACAGCAGGATTCGGGAAGCTAGATGCTAGGGAAAGGTGTGGGACTGGGTGGGAGGGAGAGTTGTTGGGGATCTATTGTAGGGGCTTACATACTTTATACTTAAACGCATACAAAAAACTAAATTCTATAACTTTTTGACCATCGTGCCGGGCATTCCAATCAACTTCATCAAAACTTATAATTCTCGATAGCATTAAAACTTAGCAGCTAGTTTTTTTTGTTTGTTTGTTTGTGGGCCAAGTAGCAAACAGCAGTTGAGCTTAGAGCAGACTTGGGGCACCATGTGCTCCTCTGCTCTGCCCTAAACCCGTTCTGTGCCAAAGCCCGCTTAGATAACTAACGCAGTTCCTTACAACTAACTGTACAGACACACACAGAAGCTACTAGTTGCATCCCAAATTCAGATCACGACAGCCAGCGGCATTGCTTGTTAGGAAGGTGTCGACGTGCTATCCAGCAGCACCGACGCCAGCTCCTCGTTGGACTCCACATATACCAGCGTGGGATCCTCGCCAAATTCCAGCCGTCCGTATCGCGCCACCAATGGAGATTTGCTGCTCACCTGCGGGGCTCGAGGCCATTTGCGTTTGGGTTTCGTGTGCGTCAACATGTGGGACTTCAGATTTGTGGACTGGGCAAAGCACTTGGAGCAGCCATCGATGGGGCAATGATACGGCCGATCTCCAGTGTGAATCCGCACATGCGTGCGCAAATTGAAATCCAACGAAAAGCGTTTACCGCAGCCTTCGAACGTGCACTCGAATGGCTTCTCTCCAGTGTGCACCAGTTGATGGCGCTTCAGCTTTGAGCTCTCCACAAAACTCTTGCCGCAGACGTTGCACACATGGCCGCGCGGTCCGTGCGTATGCATATGCTTACGCATGGCCGAGTGATTCCGAAATTCCTTATTACAGCCACGATGGGTGCACCGAAACTTTGGCTCCTCATCCTCATCCGTTGGCGGCATTGTGGATACTGCGGCAGCACGTTGATTTAATTGCTGTTGCTGTCCATTAGCACAACTACTGCTGCCGCTACCGCTGCCGTTGCTGGTGTTAGTGTTGCTGTTGTTGCTGTTATTTGCTGGCACCAGAGGCGGAGGTTGCGTGGTCAACTGACGTTTCGCCGCTTTATTGTTCACATTATTATTGTTTGTTTTCAGCCGAATATTAGTGCTGCTGTTCTGCAGCACCAGCTTGGGCACTGCCTTTGTTGCTACTGCCACGGCTGCTCCTGCTGCTGTTGGTGCTGTTGCAGGCGTTGTTACGGGCGCTGCCATTAGTTCAACAGGTTGTGGCATATTCTCAATTAATTCAATGCTGCCATAAGCCTCATCCAGTTGATATTGTTCGCTTAGCGATTGGCTGTCCTCCTCATCCTCCTGCTCCTTCACATCATCTCCGTCGGCCATAAATGCATTCACCACCTCCTCGACGTCAGTGACAGCAGCCGCACTGAACGGATCCGGCAATATGACATACTCATTGCCGATGCCGTCGCTGAGCACATCGTGATGCATCATATGCTCGTCAATGATTAGCTTTGGCATTTCGTTAGTTCTATTCGTTGTACTGCTGATTACTTGAGGTGCTGACAGTGCCTGCTGATCGGCTGCATGTTGCTCATCCAAATCCAATTCCTCTTCATCCTCATCCTCCGAATTGAGCGATGACCAGAGCGTCACATTAAACTGATCCTGTGTGATTCGTATAGGCACTTTCGTCTGCTTCCAACGCTTCGCAGTGCCATGACCATTGCCATGGCCATTGATGTGATTATTATGGCTGCTGATTACGTTATTGCCATGACGTTGCGGTCTACCAAATGGCTTAAAATCCTGTACGTGGCAGCTATTGGAATCATCTGCGGACTTCATATAGTAGTCATTTTCCAGCTGCTCCTCTTTAATAGTCGCTGCTGTTGATTCAATTGTTGTTAACATTTCTGAGGCTATTTCAAAGGCATTTGTATCGCGTTGCATGATCGGCGTTTCATCCTCTTCGTCTCCGGATGATAATCGCATCTCACCATCCACTTCTTGGCCATCATCTTCATCATCGCTATCCTGCTCCTGTTGCTGCATTATTATTGGCGGCGGCAAAGCGTCTGCTGTGGCCATGCCCATATCTATGCGGTCCACCGAGCAGAACTCGTAGACATCGCCAGATACGAAAAACTCGCCAGTATCTACAACAATATTGGCATCTTCATCATAATCATCAATGATCTCTTCAATCAAGAAACTTTCGTTGTCTCCGGCACTGGCCATGTGTTCCGTACCATCCAGGTCGGTGCTGTACGGATGCTGATTCTCCACAATTGCCGTCGTCGGAGGCAGAACGTGTGTGAAATACAACGGCGACGTTGTGTTTGTATTGTGATTGTGCACTGAGGAGGAGGAGGATGAGGAGGCAGACATCGACATCGGCAGGGACAACGGCAGCGACAGAGGCAGCGGCAGCGGCACTGCGGCTGCGGCCAGTGATAGATTTTTAACGATTGGCGGTGCTCTGGCTTGAAAATTGCCGCCTTGATGATGACTTGTCATCGTTTTGGCGTGTTTGTTTCGTTCACGTACGCCTCAATGTGTGTGTGTGTTTGTATGACTGCGCGYGTCTGTATGTGTTTGTGTGTACAAGTTGTTGTATATGTAGGCGCGCGCGCTCGTGTGTATATACGTCTGTAGATTGGGGCCCACTGAAAATTGCCAATTAGAGAGCAAATCATTTTAGAATATCATTAAACATACCCGATGGCCAATTTCGTTGCCAGTCGCTGTTGTTTGCGTTGTTTGTATTCTCTACTGCTGCCCTATTGACATCGGTGCGTGGGGCGCTGCGTCGACGACAGCAGCGGCAGTGGCAGACGTTGTCTGTCAAATTTGTCGTTTTTTGGTCCGTTCGCGTTGTCACACGGCCCGTTTAATGCACAATCTTGTTGATGTGCCGCTAAATATTTATTAGCAATGTAAATATTTTGAATTTTGCCGGTAAATATGGCGGAATTGTATTTTCCAAAATGGCTCAAGCACTTTCTCTTGCGTACAACTTTTATTGGTGTTAGTGACAGCAAACCGATAACAATAAAATGCAGCCCTGCGCGCGCTTTATGTATACATATGTGTGTACAACAGCGTCCAGCCGGGGGCTGTGAACTGTAATTAATTAATGTTCTGCATTTTAAATAACGCGACAAAAAAAGTGCCGATTATATATGTAGCCCAGTCAGCAGCAGTTTTAATTACGTATATTATTATTTATTATTATTAATTATAGTCGATAACGATAAATACTATAACAGGGTTGCCTCACGAACCGCCTCTTAGACCGGCTATTAAATGAAAACTAAATGGCTACTTTTAGATGCATTTAATTAATTAAATACTTATACAAAATGAGATCATATCCACAATTTCTTTAATAGCAATACCTCGGGCAGATAAATACGAGACAATTTCTGATCAATAAAAGTTTCTCGATGCGCTTTTATTGTCTCAGCATCGATCTTAAATTCAGTCTTAATAAAATGCACTGCCTTGCGATCGGGAGTCTGGGCTATATTATAATGTCTACATTGTTCAGTAAGCGATTTAGGCTCTAGCAAAGTCAAATGCAACAAGTACGCAGTCGGTACCGTAAGCTGTTTGCTATTGTAGGCATGCGTAAATATTTCCAAAAGGCGTCTGAGAGTAAACATAGAAATAAAATCAATAATAATATGTACATACATGAGTATACATACATATGTAAAGTTTTAGTTACAAATTTACCTTCGTATTGTCTGTAGCTTTGCTCCAGCCACCGCACAAATGATATGCGGCAATTTCGGCAGACCTTTAATGACACGATAAAGATTTCCTTGATGATAGTTCAGACAGATGCTAAACGCCAACTTAAAGATTTCGTTCTCTCGTACTTGGATGGGCAGCATTAACCCGCGAACTAGAGCTTCTGGTGTACCCAAGTTGAAAATTTGATACAGTGCCTCAATAAAGTAACGTCGCTCTGCCTCACGTATGGTTGGCTTCTTCTCATTCATACTTTGTGCCTCCTCATCCAGCTCATCGTAACAGCAGAGTACAACATTTAGGCATTCCTGCAAATGCTGATTGCAGATTTTCGGATCAAATTTATCGATTGGGTCCTCACACAGGCGATAGCGGCTGTAAGCCATAAACATGATCATCGGCTCAATAAGACAAATGGTTTGTCGGGGATTGTACTGCTGTATGACTATTTCCCGCCGCACACTTCGCAACCGATCGAATATAAAATCATAGACGAAATGATAGGGCTTACGTTCATCCATAAATATGCTAAAAGATTTTAAATGAATTCCAACATTAAGCCAATAACAAGGATTCTTACTCTTTAAGCAGATATTCAACCGTTCTCGTTAGGCAAAGCTCAGTACGCATATCCTTGGCTTTTGGCACCTTTGCATCGGCAGCGGAACGCGTAAACTCCTTGACCAAAACGCCGGGTACATGTTTTTGACCATCTTTGTATTCAAAGTAGTTCAGCAATTTCTTTTGTATGCGCCTTTAAAGAAAAACTATATTCAAGATTAAACACCAACTTCTAATCTTTGCTTACATTTTAGCTTCTCCATCGGGACAAAAGCGTTCACAGGAACCGCGTACAAATTGAATGTTTTCCATAATTTACAATCAAGAATTTGTTTATCTAATAAGAAAATCAAAACAAAAACTAAACAGCTGGCATCTCTAGAGTTGTCGCATTCATCAAAATGTATACAAATTGATTAATTACAATCATTTTTATTTATTTAGGCTTCGTTAGTTACCAACATGTCTTGGATATTTCACACGGTCAAACAAATTTTAAGCCAAAATCATATTTTTTCCCGTGCATTATATGAAAATGTCAGAGAGACTGCATCCAAGGCAATCAAAAGCAACAGGCAGTTTTTTAGTGTGGTAGCCCTGCTGCAATTCGCCGTTATTGTTGGTGAGATGGAGCCAAAGAAACGTACACGACATGTTAGCAAGGCCAAGTACGAGTCGACACTGGATTCCAAGGCGCAACATTATTTAAATGCACTCAAAGTGCGCTGGATGCAATTGCACGATATCCCCGGCCTATTTGCCTATCAGCTACAAGAGTCCAGGCCAGGACGCAAACTGCCAGGCAAATGTGGTTTCTATGCAGAGGTGAGTGTCCAAGTAATCTTAGCAATAATTATTACTTTGTTTATTTTGTTTTTCAGTTAAATGCGGATCGCACATTGAAAAGACGCGTGCCACAAACCATAGAGAGCTTAAGTCCCACATTTCGGCCCAAACAATTTAATTTTAACAAAGTGGATGCAATGGAGGTGATGATGACTATCGATGAAGAGAGAGACAACGCCGAGGTGCAGATGATTATCAACAAGAGTCCCATTACCAAATATCACACGCTCATCTGCCCGGAAGTGAAAAAGGAACTAGTTCAACGAATCACCTGCTCGGCGCTCAACTTTTGCATTACATTCATGCGGAATATCACTGATCCAAATATGCGACTGGGCTATAATAGTCCAGGTGCTTTGGCTTCAGTGAATCATCTGCATTTTCATCTGCTGCACATACCACGCAAGCTATACATCGACAATGTGGAACTGAAGCCTCTGGCAGGAAACTATGTTTATCGCCTAAAAAACAAGGAGCCCACAGAAGCGATTTGTTTTGTGATTGGCGGAAGGGACAGCGATGAGGATGTGAGGGAAAAGGTTCAGCAAATTCATCAAATCACGGAATGGCTATGCAACAACCAGTTGCCACACAATCTATTCATGACACACGACCGGCAAACAAACGATTTGCGTGTATTCCTCTTTGTACGATCGAAATATTGTGTAAACAAGGATGCATGCATATTCAATGTTGGCTTCTGTGAGTTGGTCGGCTTTCTGCCTGTGGGTGGTAAGTAGATAGATGGTAGATAGCACTATATATACCACTAAATCGATTGTTATATACTATTGCAGATGAGGAGAAACTGCAGAATCTGACAGAGCAAGTAGTGATCGATAGAATCAAGGATCTGACTGGCGATGCTTTCGAAACGGCTTACAGGCAGACAAAACGCATCATCGATGGCAGCAACAGCACTCTATGGCCTATTTTGATATAAAGATATTTCAAGTAGTCCAAGTTTTATTTTATGCCTTTAATCATGTAAGACAGCTAATTGGCTGCTGTGATAACTCCTTTGCCCATGGCTGCCTTACCCGCTACTTTGGTATTGGGTTCAATGCAATAGTTGACATCGTTTGGCATATTTTGGCGTCTCACATAATCCAGAAGTAATGGCAATTGATCCATTGCTATGCTCTGGCGTATCACATCGAAGAAGCCCATGTAATGATGCAAATTGTGGCTGTTTGGTCAAATAAAAATATGTCAATACAAAACTAAATAAAAGCCGGTTCATTCTTACATCATTAGCAGAATCGGACCCAGCAGCTCATTCGTCTTGTATAGATGATGCACGTAGGCGCGCGTATGTTTCTGGCACGCCAAGCATTTGCAACCTTCTAGCATAGGCTTAAACTCCTCCCTAATCGCCTCATCCGTAACATCTAGAAATACAGAATGCTCCTCCTTATCAATAGTGTAACTAAAAGTCAGCGCCTTATAATTGACGGCTGCGCAGTAAGCGTAGGAGGTATCAAATATATCGATGCCCAGGCGTATTAGCTCCAACATTAGCACAGGTGTTAAAGGACCTGGCATCAGGCGTGGCAACTCCTCCTCAATCTGTTGCACACAATGCTCAACAATGGGCAGCAGTTGTGATGGGCTCAGACTCGTAGCAGGTAAGCCATTGGTGTGGAATCCCTCAAATATGTAGCCACCGTAGCTTCCCTTTGGCTGTTCGCGTGCATGCTTAATGGACTGTGTGCGGGCATATGTGTTGTAGCCGCCCACAATTGGCGCAAGAAGCGTCGAGTCTTTCAATCTATCAAGCTCTCTGTGCTGCTTGTAGCAGTGTTCCATAAAACGTTCGGTTCGATCCACCGATTTTTGTACCCGCTTCTTGGTGCTATCTTGATTAGTGTCGGCATCGCACAAGCCCTGATACACATCCGGCGCAAAACTGGACACCAGTTGCAAATAACGTTCCGCGGTTAAAGACTCCTTGCCTCGTCGTGTGAAAAGTGGAACCACATCCCGATCATTGCCACCCGTTGGTGTGGCTTCGCATGGATCGCGCAACAGCAACACTGTATTGCACTCCGGATAGCCTACATAGGCGCCCAGGCTGCGGTTCCACTGTGCCAAAGACTCGGCCATTTGATCCATGGTGCATAATGTCAACTGCAGCACTTGTTGCTCCTGGGTGACCATTCCGAAAACATCGGCGCTTAAGTATGGAATGCTGCCGCCTTTTGTTGTTTGCAGCAGTAGCGGCGTTTGTAACTCCTTGCTGTCCTTAATCCGCAACTGACCAAGGCGTCCGGAATTTTTACTAATACTTTTTATAATAAACTTCATTGTGAAGAGTTTTTACTTATTGTGGTTTGCGCACGTTTTGCGCCTATCCATGATAAGATACTATCGATAGCTATCGATTGGGTTTGTTATCATGCGCCTATCCAGCTGTTTGTAATTTAAAAAAAAAATTAAAAATATTAAATTTAAATCACTAATGAAAAATTAAGTGTATAACATAAAATAAATATAAATAGATAAATGTGGGTTCAGCTTTAATTTAATTTTGTCGTTGAGCTGAAACATATTTTATTTACAGCAGTTGCAAAGTGGCTCGTAACAGTTCCTGTTATTGTGGCGTATTATGTTAAACAACATTTCTGTTTTGCCATCCGTTCTTTCCTGCCCAACGACAACAACAATATATGTATGTTATTCAAACAGTAAACTAACTGGGGGCACATAACGCTGATGCTTTTGCTGTATGCGCAGCGCACTTGAGTATTATTGTCATTGTTTTTGTTGCCGCACCGTTCTAGTTATGCATTCGCTCGCTCGCACTTGTTGGTGCGACTTTTCCCCAATTGTGTTTGTTTGTTCCGTTCGCATTCGTTCATTGATTTCCTAATTAAGTTTATAATTAAAATTAATTGAAAAATTACCCACATACATATGAGAAGTGTGTTGTAACATCGAAAAATGAAATAAAGTGTGTGTCTGTGTGCCTATTAAAGTCGAATGAAAGCACGTTAAAAATTTAAATGCAAACTTGTGCCAAAAAAAAAAAAAAAAAAAAAAAACAAAAACAAAAACAGAAACAAAACAAAACATGACTAGCAGCAGAAGCCAAAAAGGTAATTATAATAAGCCACAGTGTATGTTTTTTTGTTTTTTCTTCTTGCTTAATTGATGACTTCCCTGCCGCGCTCTATTTATAATTAAAACCGTCTGCAATAGCAATTATATTTATTGAACAAAAGGCGAATGTACATAGCTGTATACAAAAATGTATATATAGTATATTAAAAAAAATTTTTTCATATGTATATGTTTAATATATATATGGATGTATATGCATAAAACAACTATAAAAATTCTTTGCACAAATTTTAAATGGCCATAAATTTTTGCTAAAAGTCGCGCTGCGGCTTAAGTCAGTAGTAGGAGAGTGGGAGAGGGGCGAGAGGAGGGATGTGTGGGTGCTTATCCTATTTAGTGACTCTGCCAGGGTTGTCAGCATGCGCAAATTGCAGCCATGCTTTATGTTTTTGTTGTGGCCTTGAGTATCTCTTTACCTGCTACCTGCTCCGTTGTTCTCGCTTGCAAACCATTTTTTTTTAATGTGTCGAACTAGCTTGCGGCGTTTTACGAAAATATTGTAAATGAAAAATACCAAAAATAAGAAACAACTAATACAGAAAAAATGTTTTCTGCTTTCCAGGTGGTCTCGTTAAATGTTGCAGTGTATGGCAACTCTAGGCAAATGAACTGTTTTACCTGCACACATACAAGCGTATGTATAGTCAACACAACGGATAATTTAGTGGAATTTTCGAAAATAGCAAAGGAAAGGCAGCCATAATCCTCCAGAGCAGCAGCCGCAGAGGCAGCGCCAAGAGCAACAACGACGCAAGCAGGCATAATAATCAAAGATTAAATCAGGTTTATATGGAAGGGTTAAAAAGAGCAAAAACAGCCTGTCACAGGAAGAAATACACGTTTCCTAGTCGCTGAGGCACGTCTACAACAACTACAACAACAGCAACAACAACAACAACAAATCAGCAACAACTACAACGAACAACTGATTTTGATTACAACTACAAGGAGCGCGCGCTACACACACATATTCAATCACACGAACGCACACATACATGTTTTGAGCGCACTGAAAGAGCGAGAGAGAGAGAGAGAGATAGAGAGCGAACATGCTTTGAGATGGTGAGAGAGAACATGCACAGATTAACTAGCGCGCTCAGTTTTCCGCTCAGTTCTCATTCGAGTGCGGTACGGTTACGTCGCATTGCTCCCACTAGGCAGCGGTGAAAATACAACAGAAGATTTTCCGTTGTCCGTTTTCCGCTAGGCGACGGCACAACACAACGTATGGGCGGCATTTGTTTTGAAAGTAAAGTAAGAGGAAAACGAAATATAAACCAAAACGTCGCGACCGCACCTCGCTAACTTATGTTTTTGATTGTACGTGAATGTGTGTGTGTGTACATATACATATATGCTTTGAAACGATATATCACGAAGAAGGAAGCATAATCAAGTGAAAAATAGTGCAAAAATATAAAGCAATCGAAAAAAGAATTATTATAATAAGATAGCCAAAAGACGGGCCCAGAGACCAGTTTGAAATCGCCGCCTATTTGCAGGGCAACACACGCGCCACAGCCGCCGTTGGCAGAAGCAGTGCATATGCTATGTGTTTGTGTGTGAGCGAAAGAGCCCGCGATAGTTTTGAGTGTGGAGCAGGGGCAATGGCAGTGGCAGGCAATTGAACGTACACACACACACTCACAGATATTCATACACACACACATGTGCACATGCTAGCCAAGACAGTACTACAACAGCAACAACAACAAGAAGCGACCACATACGGTGAAAAGGCCGCGTCGCCGTCTCAAGGAGCGAAAGGCAGTGAGAGAAGCAGAGAAAGAGAAAGAGGCAGAGGCAGAGGCAGCAGCGGAGCGAGCTATAAGAATAATAAATTACACTTTGCTTTTGCTATAATAAGAAGAAAAATTTATATACACATACACACACACACACACATATATATATATATATATACACATGTGCAAGTAATGTTTTTCTTGTGAGTGTGTGTGTGGGGGAAAATTGTAATAAAATATGAACGCAAGAAAAACGCTGGAAATGGAAAACTAAAAGTAAATTTCGAAACATCAGCAAGCAGCAGTAGCAGCGCAGTGGCCGCGGCAGCGCAGATATGCAGCTGTATGTGTGCGTGTGTGTGTAAATTATTAACAGTTAGGCTGCGCAAATAAAAAGCAAACGGAGAAGAAAAAGAAATTAAGCAGCAGCAAATAAATAAAAGTGAACAACAACATTCAATGTGCCATCATTTTCAACAACAACAACTACTACTATAATTAAGCAAAAGGAGCAGCTTTAAACAAAATATAATAAATAAATACATACATATATACACATATATATTTATAAGCGTTATATATATACAGTATTAGCAACAACAACTGAGAGAAGAAAAAATAATATTAAAAATGTCCTGCATATCGAGCAATTTTAGCTCATTCTTTCTCAACTCCTTGAACGATCCTTCAGAGTTTTCCAAGTACTTGAGCAATGGCGAGCTGAAATGCTCGAATTTCGAAGAATTTCAAGTGTTTGCTCAGTCAACGCAACAGCAACAACAACAGCAGCAGCAACAACAACCACAATCACAGTATTCATGCACAAATGGCATCGGCGTCGGAGGCGCAGAGCTCGGATTTGAGACGGCAGCGACATTGCAGTTGCAGTCGGCGCAGCGGGAAGCTGCGGAAACGCCGGCAGTGCTAAGCACACCGTTGCCCAGCAACCGTTGGCCGACAGCGGTGGCAACGCCAAACGGACACGTGCCCGCCTCTGCCGCCGCCGCTGCCGCTGCTGCCAACGCTCAGCATTTCGATGGTTCCTTTGAGTTTATCAAATATCTGCGTCACTCCACAGACTTTACGCCTAGCAGCGGCAGCAGCAGCGGTGTCAGTGGGAGCAATAGCTCCGTCGGCGTCGGCGTCAACGTCAGCAGCGATGCAGTTGACAGCGCAGCATTGGCAGCACCGGCAGAGAAGAGCAGTAAATTGATTGGAGCGGGCAGGATTGCAACACCGCCGCCAGGGGGCGCTATCGCTGGTGGTGCTGGTGGCAATGGTGGCTGCAGTGTGGGTTTATTGGATCTGGACTCGGCAAACCCATCGCAAAAATCACGTTCGGCTTCACGTAAAGTTGCCGCGCTGCTGTCTTCCGTATCGCGCTCTTCCAACAGCCTGGACGCCAGCACCTCCGCCCTGGACGCCGTCTTCGATCACGATTCGAAGCAAACAATCTTTGAGCTGCAACACCTGACGAGCACCTCGAACGGCTCGAATGGCTCCAATTCAGAAGAGTCGTCCTCCCTGGAGCTACTCGCCTTTCCCAGCTCCCATCTGAATGCTTCCAACTCGAATACCTCCTCGGAGGAGCATTGCGGCAGTGCAGCAGAATTCGGTGGACTGTTGGGTGGATCTGGATGCTCGGCGGCTTCGGGCGCTGGTGGCGCGCCCAAGCTTCTGGGTAGCTTTGTGATCAAGGAGAACTTCGATGTGCACCCCTCGCATAAGGTGGAGGAGGGCATCTTCCAGCACATGAACAAGTTGCCGTCAAAGAAGAAAGATACCCTCAAGCAGTTGGGCGTACGATTCACGGGCCAAATGACATTGACGGATAAATCGATTGTGGTCGAAAATTTCATCAAATTTTGCGAGGTGAGTTTGTTAAATAACTTGGTATATAATATATAAAGACCACATAGACTAGACAACAGCTGTTCTTTTCATAAAATTCTATAGATATATGCAGATGCAGATAGCTTAATTAAACAAATCCAACAATATGAAATTCATTTATTTTTTCAATTTCAATTACTGTTCAACATTCGCTCTGTCATTATAGTACATATGTCAGATACAAATATATATATGAATAGAATTTGATTTTCACTAACATATACAGAATATACATACGACACTTATATAAATATATATACATATACCTACATCTGAATATATACGTATATATGCATATATATTTACATATATATATTCATAACGCGGATACACCGTTCATATCCTTTACACAAGCGCATTTCTCACTCTATTATATGCCGCCCACATACATACATATGTACATATATCAAACCCATACTCCCTCACGCACACACACATGCTCACCCAACGAATGTCATTATAAATTGTAATAACAGCAGCAGAGACGCCAGCGTCGACAGAGCGGGGCCAACCACAAATTCAGCATACAAATACAACTGTAATCATGTGTGGCACCAATGTGTGCCTGTGTATTCTAAACACCTACATACAGCCAAACATAAGCATGTACATTTGTATGTAAACACACATATATATATATATATACAGAGATATATACAGACAACTCACTCCAACACATTTGGCGCCTTTTCAACACTATGCTAGGCAACCCTCCCAACTCTCACACACTGACACATGCTCATTACGCTCAGCTTTATCGGAACGCACACACACACAGCCACACACATACAGAATCAACTAGATTTGGTCGAAGCAGCACCCGCACAACCCACACACTCAAACTATGTACAAAACGGCATTGATGGCATAATACAGGAACAGCAACAACAACAAGAGCAAGTACAACAACATGAGCAGTAGCTAGAGCCTAACCTTATTTCAACATGGCTGCTTTCTCGGCCCTTCGGCCGCTATTACAACATTTTAGTTTTAAGATGCCTAGCTTTGATGTTGTCGTTCTGCTCTCCCTTCCAGTTTAACTCAAAATTGTTGCGCGCTCTCTCTCTCTCATACTCGCGCCAGCGTTCACTCCTTTGCTAGTAAGAACTTTACTTACAGGGAGCATCGTCGGCGGCAGTGGCAGCGGAACAGGCGGTGGCGGTGGTAGTGGCAGCGATAGCTGCCTGCTCAAACTACAAAGTTTTGTATATGTATGTGTGTGTGTATAGTTATGTGTGGGTAAGTGGGTCTGGCAACCCCCAAAAAGCTCAAGCGGGCGCTATTGAGTAATTGTATATGCGCCCCTCTCTTTCTCTCTCTCGCTCTCTCTGTCTCTCTCTTACTCACACACACATACTCTTACACATTCTCTCTTGTGTTACATACATATATACAATCATCAAGTTACTTGGGGCGTTTGTTGGACTGTCCATTGAGTTGCCTTCGTATGTCCTTTATGTATGTATGCGTGTATATGTGTATGTTTGTTTATATGTATATGTACATTTTAGGTGTGTGGTACCCTAGCGGCGTCGTTGAAGGCTACTAAATGCGCATGCAGTAGCAGCGCAGTCACCAATACACATATGCAATAAGTTTGCCAATCTGTGTGTATGTATGTAAACATACATATACATTTTTGGGTGTGTAAGGGACAGCAGCTTCAGCTGCGGATGAGAACGGGTCGTATAGGGGGCCGCAGGACGTTGGGCGTTTGGCTAGGGCAGGTACAATGTCTCGGGCTCGCACAATTTACGCGCTCACACAGAAACAGCAACTGTGAAATACATGTACATTGATTATAATTTTAAATTATATACACATACATACGGACATAAATTGCAATGTAAATACATACTTATATACGAATAACTGTACTTGCCAAACTTATATGATGACTATATATAATATATGTATATGTATTTGTATCTGTATCCACTGTCAACACACATTCAAACGCACACACATTCAGATGGATATAAAATATTTAGGTTTATGCGTCGTTTTTGCCGCCTTTGGGGCCGCATTAAATTAGTGTTGTATAACGAGGCGAATACAAGGGGTCACACGGAAGGGTATGAGCATATGCAGATTATTGCCAAAAATGTAAAACATATACATACATACATATATAAATATTAATTCAGATGGATAGTTATAGCTGAAGGGCAAAATATGAGGTTATGTTCTACCCTTCTACTGGGCACATTAATTAAGGCTCCAAAGAAGTTCGTCTACAAATGTTAAGGCAAACGACTATTTGGGCAATAATTAATGAGTCGTTTGCAACCCTTTTTTCACACGTGCGTCGTTCAAATTGTTGTTAAAAACCTGTTAAACGCAAAGAGTGAAAGTGTGAAAATTGTTGCCTCCCCTCACACACACGCACACGTAAGCACGCTGGGGCGCACACGCAACCCTCAAAAATCAAAAAATCATTGTCGGGCGACGGCAGCACGAACAACTGTTGTTGCACGCACAAGCAGGAAAACAGAAACAGAAAGAAAAACAATTCACACTTGTCTCAATAAAAACAACAACAAGCTGCATCACACCGCTCGCACACACGCATAGACAGAACTCACACACACCACAGACAACAACCGCAAGCCGCCACACATAAACACGCAGCCACATACAAACACACGCACACGAAGCCAGAGAGCTGGGCAGGATACGTCACGCACAGACACGCACAAACACAAACAGTCTGCGTGCTGTCAATAAGTTGCAAAAAAGAAGTAAAAAAAAAAGCAACAGTCAAAACAATAAAAGGAAAAGCAAGAGCACAATGCCGCAACACATTGCTATTGCTGCCTTCATTCTTTCTGCTTGTTTCTCTTTTGTTTTTACTTTTTTCTTTTTTTTTTTTTTTTGAAACAGTTAAGCGGCTATAGGAATGTAAACACACAAAACGCTACCCCTCCCGTTTCCGCCCACACATCGCTGCAGCCAAAACAATCAAGCAGAGACAGCAACAGCAACACTTGGCTTGACAGCCAAGCTCGGCTCTCTCTCACCTATATTACTCTCTCATTTTTGTGGTCTTTCTTCCTTTTTCTTTCTCTCTTGCACGCATGCTGCTGTTAATGAGTCGTCACCGACACGCTGCCCTCTTCACGGCCAACACCTCTGAAGGGGCCTGTCATCATTGAAAAGGCGTTGAATTGGTTGCTCGTGGTCTGAATTTCTCTCTTTCGGTCATAATTTGACATACCCATACACACACCATCATAAAGTCAAGCTTTAAGTATTTTGGTAAATTTGACTTGTTCCACACCTCCTTCTCCTCATTGTGCTCATTCTACTGCTGCAGCATGCTTGTATCCAGTGGCTGGGCGTCGTCACTCCTTTTTGCTCTATTGATTTTTAACATAATCAAAACCCCAAATGTATGCACACATGCATACACATGTACAGTTATAAGTACATGCACACACACCCATGTGGGCATTTTCGACAGCGTTGCCATATATGCTTAGAAGTCGGCAGGCTGATGCTTTGGGTGGGTAACGTTGGCGTCGCGCTGATTATGAGGATGTTGATAAGTTTTAACGTCGACGTCGCTGTCGCTGTCGACGAACGAGCTCACGAGCACGAGTCGGCGATGCTTGTTGACTCTCTCAAAGTACACACACACACACACAAACACACATGCACAGGCACAGGCACATAGACACGAATACGGACACAGACGTCCGTCAAGCTGCTGCGCCTATTTTAAACACACACACATGCACACCCAAGCCCATGGGCAGGCGACAACCCTTTTAGCTCCCACAAGTTCCACTTTGTACCCCGCTCTTCTCTCGCCAACATTGTTGAAAATGGCTTCATTGAAAATGTTGTTTGCTTTTCTATTTGGGTTTGCTTTAGCTGCTGCTGCTGCTGTTGGTGCCTTTCTCTTTCCCGTTTTTGCTTTATTTTATATTTTTACACTATAAAATATACATTGTGCGAGTGTGTGTGCGTGTGGGGCTGGGGCTGGTAATGGGGCTGCATGTGTTTGTGTGGGATTGTGTGTATGGCATGCTTTTAGGCGCAGAGTCCTTTCTATGATTGTGTTTGCATTTTGGGGTCTGCAAGTTTTTGGCTTTTGTAAAATTTTCGTTTACAACTTTTTGTTGTACACGAATTATAAGTTTTGATTAGTAGTGGGCAAAGTTTTCATTTGCATTAGTATAGGTATATATGTATACATGCATACATATTTATGTAAATGCACGTGTGTGTGTTTTCCACTCGGTGGTTGAGCTTAGCTAAATATATGTAGGTATACACAAGTATATAAGCTATATCTAATATATAGAAACATTTATATGCAGGAAATGAGTTTCAGCTTTATAATATGTATGAAAAAAGGGGTTCAGCTAAAAGAGAGATTTCATTCCTGGAATGAAACTTGGTATATGAATATTTTATTTATACAAAATAAGTTTCCTTCGGGTTTCATAAGTAACAAATGTTTGTCTAAGTATAAAGGATGTTTGATTAGGCATATAATGAATACTTTCTGAGGTCACAAAGAGTTTAGTTTATATGCATAAGATTTGTACGCAGACTATATATATACATATTTCTTTTACCAGAATATGACTATGTGACTATTAATTATTTAATTTATTACAAATTGTAATATGTATATTATAAAAAAAAAAAAAAAAAAAAAAAAAAACAACTTGTGCAAAAAGGATGTATCACAGACTATATAGCATACTTTTAAGAGTATCAGGAAATATATTTCAAATTATATATATTTTAGGAATACGATATTAAGGATCATCGACCCTGGTTGTCCTTAAATCAGTGTGGCCTCAACAAACCTGAGCAAATCAAATTCGCACGCTATTTGGGCCAAGGATTGCCAACGTTTACGCTCTTCTGCATTTATAGCAATTTTAAAAATCTATTTTGCACCAAACGCACAGAAATGTAAGTGTACAATCTGCATATCGGTAAATATGTATGTATATATATGTATATTTTAAATATATTCTATAGCTATACCAAGGATGGCTACAATCTGCCTTATATACTCGATAAGACCAAGCGCTTCCTGGCCAACACAACAGCTGGTAAGACACTCTGAACCTCTCTCCCCTCTCCAAATATATACAAAATTTTTATAGTGCAAATGCAGCAACGAAGAAAAAATTTAAAGACAGGCGAAAAGAATCTATATAAATATAGCTAAATAAAAGAGAAAAATAAATAAAAATAACCTCAAAAATAGTTTCAAGCGAAAATGTGCTAAATTTTAAAAATATATACACAAAAAGCAAAAACCAAATTTCTATTTTACATTTTTTTTTAAGTTTATGATATGTTCTTTTTCTTCTATTTTTGCATTTTTCTCATTTCACATTTCTCATTTGCTCTATATATACTATTTTTTGGTTCTTCATATGCACTTTCTGTTTCGCTCTCTCGAAAAATGAAAAAAGAAAACTAAAAACTGAAAATGAAAAAATCTGAAATGAATAATTGGCTGCCTATCTTTGCTCTCTATCGAAATCGAAGAAAAAAAAAAACTGAAGCAAGAAATAATTTTTTAATTTTTGACTTTCAATTTGTTTGTGTTTTTCTTCTTCTACTTCTTTTTACACGCACACGCTTTTCAATCACTAGGCGAAAATACCAACAACAACAACAACAACAGTAACAAGACCAACACAACAACATCCACACAGTTGAAACAAACACACGAGCAATGCGAATCAGCGCCATCATCGCCCATAGCAGCCCCAGCAGCACCAGCCGCATCAACAACACCAACAACACCAAACAACAATAACAACTCTCACGCAACAGGCAACAGCAGCACACATTTACACACGCAGCAAGCAGCGCAGTCGCAGTCGCAGCCTCAGCCGCAGTCGCAGTCACCGTTAGTAACAGCGCCCAATGGCACACCCCTGCCCAGGCCTGGCACGCCCACAACGCAAGTTAGCCAGCCACATACGCATCTAATGCAACAACATGCATCGCATCACCTGCAACAACAACAACAACAACAACAACAGCAGCAGCAGCAACAACAACAACAATCATCCACGCCCACGCGTGGACCACCCCTGACGGCGCATCATCATCAGCAACAGCATCCACAGCATCTGCATCATGCGCCACCGCATCCACATCACTATCAGCATCCACATTCGCATCCACATCCACAGCAACATCCGCATCCGCATACGCATCCGCATCACTTTGCCTACGCACATCCGCATCATCCGCATTACAACCTGCCGCCACCACATCCGCATTCACATGCACATCCGCACCCACATCCGCATCCACATCCACATCAGCATCAACATCAACATCCGCACGCTCATATGGCAGTGCCACACGGCTATGGCCAACAGGTGGCGCCAACGGCGCCCCCAACATCAGCTCAGCCACCGCCACCGCCGCCGCCACATGCACTGCCGCCCAATATGTGAGACTGGCGTCGGCGTGGCGCCAAATATGGCGGCAATGGCGCCACCTGTTGACAATCATTGGCGGTTCCAGCTACCTACAAATAAAAAGAGGAAATTAATCGAAACGAATGCCCCAGCAACTATTATTAGCTTTTAACTCTTCTATTTACACCATTCGGTTTTATTTTATATTATTATCATGTTGTCTCTGTCCCATTTACAAAGTCTTCTGTTTTGCTCATAGCATATGTATTTCGTTTGTAGTCTAATTTTACACGCTTATTGCCAAATTTTTTAATATGTATTATGTTATACGACTAAATTGTTGGACGATAAACGCGCCCTGAACTATGCAATGTTATTCCTTGAAAAGAGATTATTACAATTACAAACACACAAAACACACATGTAAACTGTCATTATAGAGAATCAAGCTAATGCGCAACTATTGAAAGTAATATTATTTAGACATATATATATATATATAGTAATGAATATATATTTTAGTAAGCCAGAAACAAATAATATATATGTGCAAAACCCATCCTAAATATATATATACTATTATATATATACAACCTCTACATATATACAAAACATATAAAGCGAAATTTTGTTTGCAACAACAAATATACATATATATACATACATAGCAAAAAAGAACAAAAATATGTTGACTTTTTTATTATGCCTGTTCTCGCGTTCGCCTGCATTTGTGCTAGCCAAGCGTCACATTTCTTTAGCATTCGGTCGTCGTGTTCCCTTTCTCCCTCTCACTCTCTCTCTCTATAAAAATGCAACTCTCTCTTGTAGACCTCAAGAATATGGCGGCCGCCAATGACGGCACGCTCGAGTTTGCCAGCAATAGCAGCACCAGCAGCAGCAATAGCACCAGCAACAACAACAACAACAACAGCAGCAGCAGCAGCAGTCTTAACAGCAGTATCAGCAGCACCAGTAACAGCAGCAACACTGTTAACAACTATGTAACAGCAGCAGCAGCAGCCGCGGCTTCTTCTCAATCCTTGGACACACGCTATGGCTGTGTGGCGCCGGCATCGATGTCCCTGTTACCGCCACCGTCGCTGCCGCCACTAGGACCACCGCCACGTGCGCTGGAACAGCTGATCATCTATGAGAATTTCAATGTGCATGAGACGCATCGCATCGAAGATGGCGTCTGCACTCACATCAGCCGCCTGCCGCCCAAGAAGCAGGAGCTATTGAAACAGTTCGGTATACAGAGTAGTAGCCAGCAATGTCTGAGCAATTATGAAAAGTGCATACTCATCGAGAATTTCATCAAGTTCTGCAATGTGAGCAATTGTGTATCGACGACGTGCTCCTCCCAAACAGCCAGAGCCCTTGGCCGTTGTGTTCAGCGGAGATTTGTTCTTGAGCCTCGATCCTCTACCATAATTGGCTATATATAAATGAATATATACACATTGGCATTGTTCATTATGAATTTCAGTAGTTTTCAAAATTTCACCTTCATTCCTAGAGCATAGAACAAAACTCTAGCCGACCCTTAAAATGAAACGCATTATTTAACAGATTTCCATTTACTTTTGTTTGATAATTTAGGAATATCAGATATCCGATCATCGACCCTTTTTGGACTTCCACGAGAGCGCTTTATCCAAATGTGAACAACTTAAATTTGTACGATATCTGGGCCAGGGGCTATCCAATCTGACGCTAAACAAGATATATGTGGCATTTAAGGAGTTGCTGGGGAATGGCCGACCGGATAAGTGAGCAAATTCAACAAACCTAGATCCGTGAATTAAAATGATAATATATTTGTATTTCAATTTATTAGAGCCGGATCGGATAGCTACAATTTGGATGCACTTTTAAAAAAGAAACGCAAGAACCTTTATAATCGTCTTCATGCGGCTGGTAAACCATGTTCGTTAAATTTTACTTTCGATAATTTTTTAAAATATTAGCTAATAACAGCACTGATTTTTCAAAAATAGTAGTTTTTGCACCACTGTTATGAACATATTTTAAGCCCATTTTTGTTCTCCTTTTCCTCTCATTTTACACAGCAACAAGTGTCGATCTAACAACGTTCGATTCTACTTCCCAAGTATCTCAGTCCATTGGAACAGCATCGCAGCAGTCTTTGATTACGCAAGCGCCGCGGCCACAACACGCCTTTGCTGCGTTGACAGCAGCCACACCACAGCAGAGCGAATCGCCATACAGTTATGTGCCACGGTAAAAGCAATCCTTAGCGTTGCACAGCAACAGCAACAATAATAACAGCAGCAACATCAAGAAATACACCTACACACGCATACATATTAAATATACTTCCTGGAACTGGACCAGTAACTGTTGTGTCTTCAAAACGAAAAATAAAAACAAAAACAAACAAAATTATACGCAAAATGAGGAAAAGTGTTAAGCGAAATGATGCTAAGTAATTAAAGTCAAAACTAAGTGCTAAATTATAAAGAAATATGAGTAACATAGAGAAAAAGTTAGTGTAACAAATTGAAATTAACATAAAGGTAATTAGAATGCAATTCCAATTAGTAAACAACATAGGAAATCCAATAGGAAGCAGTTCATGTGGCAGCTCTTGGCCTATCTATAGAGATATATATATTTGTAGATCGTGCTTCGGTTTCCGAAAAAAATAATTTTCCTTTCGTTTTCCAAAAGTTAAACAAGCATAATATAAATGTTTATATATATACATACATGAATATATCTATATACAGTGTAGAGAGTTAAGATAGATTATAAGTGCAACACCAAAATTCAAAAATAAATCAAAGACCTCCCAAGAAAGTTCCCTAATATGCATATACACATCAACTATAGCATATAGAAAATAAGTTGAGTGAACAAACATTTATAATACATAATAAATACACATACACACATACAAACAAGCACAACACTGAAAGTAACAGTAGAGCAAAAACATAGAAGATTAACAAAAACAATTATTCCTATATACAATACTTATATACAACAAACAATATAGATGCATAATAAAAATAATATAAACGGAAACGCAAGAATCAAATACCAAGCATAGCAATTGTAAATTCAATATACATACGTGAATATATATATACACACATATATATATATATAGTTTATAAAAACAACATAAACAAATATATTATATACTAAAACGCCAATCACTCGCTTTGTTTCTCTGTTAATTGTACGGAAACATTTTATTTCATTGATTCAAAATTATGTTTTCTGTATACGAATATTAATTTGCAATTTATAGACATTTTTGAGGGGTACAAAATAGCTAAAATACGATACAAGGCAGTTTATTTGGGTGGCTTAACTAACACACACACGCGACGCCTTAACAAAAAAGATTTGTTTTACTTAAATATATCAATAAGAATATGTTTTGTATATTTTTCCCAACTAGCGCGCGCAATTTTGAATTGCTCTTAAAGAGAGTGTTGGTAAACGCCTATTAATTTGTTTCTTTTTTGCTCATTTTCTGTTCGCGCTCCAGCGCCCGCTGCTTGGCCTTTTCATAGATGGGCAACAATTGTCCAGTCTCGCCCAGCATTTTCAAGAGCTCCACAATAAACGGCAAATAGTTGTGTTTGCGTCGCACGTTCTCTATCTGCAATGAAAGAGTTTAATTATTAACTTATTCAACAAAATATGATTTGAAATTTGTTCTTGCCTTGTATCGTTTTTTCTTCTCAATTTCGTACTGTATGTACGAGCGTAAGCTATTGATTTCAGTCTGACGATCTTCTGCAGTGTCCATGGCATCGGCAGCCGGATTGAGCAGTTTTTCAATTTGTTTTTCATAGATTCGCTGTCTGTCGGAGATCAGTGCCATTAGATTGAAATGTATCTCACCATCGCTGTAACGCTGCATGCGCTTCTCAATGATCGGTCGCACCACATCAATCCAATTTTGGTCTGGCTTGATCTCGCCCAAATCGATGGGTCCCTCGCGCAGACCGTCCAGCTCATACAGACGCCCGGCAATGGGCATATAGCCAACAAAATGATAGACATCTTCATCCTTGTTTTGATTCTTCATATCCAGCTCAAAAAGCGTTTGCCGGGCAAATGAATTGTGAACCGTGCGTATCTGGGAGGCATTGCTCAGTGTGAGGCCCTTGTTGTAGGGATCGAAGCACTGGCAGAACTCCTTGAAATTAGTAAGTGTTTCGCCCAGTTTAATATCCTCATGATTGAGGTTCAACAGCAAGCTAAGTATGGCTTGCGTCGCACAGGCATTGTTAATCACTTGCTTGGCAAAGAATATGTGATCCCGATCCAGGACAACTTTGCCAGCGGGCTCGTCTTCTTGCACCCATTTGAACAAAAATATCAGACCATGTATCGGTTCTAAGTCTTTGAATGATTCACTGTCCAAGCTCCAGATTTCCTCCACCTGTGCGCCATCGCAGCCTACATAGCGGAGAAAAACGTTTCATTCATATGTGAACAATGTATAGCAATATTTGATGCCGGCATTGGCATCCACGTCTTCTTGCAAAAAAAAGCGCGCGCTGTATTCTTAACCTACCAAATTCGCGTATCAGCTCTGTAAATACGCCTGGATCACTTTCTATAAGACACCAATTGCCTGCTCCTTCGCTCATTGTGTGAAGCTTCTTGTCGTCGGCTTAATTTGCAAAAATTGCTACTACAAAAATTTTTGTCAACTCACAAGCTACACGATTAATGTTAGGGATGTTAACAAATTAACGATATAATAAAACGATACATTAAGCGACACGATAGGTTTCCGCACTTGTACACATCGTGTTGATTCTCATTTGACGATAATATCGATATGCAACACATGTTGAACCAAAAGCAAACATTTCTATAACGGCATATATTAATTTTTAATTTTCTGTTGTGTAACAATAAAAAATTTTGCTATATCAATAAAAACCAATTTAATATACAAAAATTACAAATTGAAATGACATAAATTGACTTCTGCAGACACAGCTGCAAAACGATTGTCAAGAATGCGTTTAGCGACGATGTTTAAATTATATGTACATCTCTAATGTCATGGCGGACACAAAGCAAAGCGGTGGGGAAAAAAAATTATGTGCAAGCAGAATGGAAAATCTCACATAAAAAATTTAACTTTTCTGCAGCCAGTGAAATGTAAACTAATAATGTGTACGATAACAGTAACAGTGAGACAATAATATATATTTTAGTATATCAATTATAATGTGTACGGCTAGGTAAAATAACGAAAATATGACGCGAAAATATGATTTCAACTTCGTGCAGGCGCCACCAACAAAATCAGTGTTTGTAGTGTCAGTGGAAAATTGGCAATTGCGTACGTTTATGTAAATGCTGAGTACGGGGGAATAAACACAAATTGCAATTATCACCAAAATATTAAATTTTATATTAACTGTGTATTAATAACGGTCGCATTTGCACGTCTCAAAGAGAAAAATATTGGGGGAAAAAGAGGCGCGAAAAATTCGCAACAAAATGGTTGTCTCAAAAGACAACAAGCGTCGCCGTAAGGAAACGGAGACCCCGCCAACGTCATCGTCGTTGGCGGCAGCGGCGACCGTTGCTATAGAGTCATCACCTGAGATGCCCAAAAGGTGAGCCAATGCCTCCCCCCTATCTATTTAGTCGATCGTAGATGACTGCATATGTGTGTAAATTCTCTACAGAGATGACGACGCAGTGGCAGTCACTGTTAAATGTACTAACAGCAATATCGCCCTCCCCCTCACACCCACACCTCTGCTCAACGTGAAGTGCGGTGCGCTATATTGTATAAGCAACAGTGTTTTTGGCTTTACATTGAAAATAATTCAAAAACAATTTATTTTGAAATACAGCAAATGAGTATTGGTGGCAGTCTTTTAAATTCTTAAAAAAAAAAAAAAAAATGTTTAAAGTAATAATATTACTGTATACAAGTTATAAATCTGTTTATTTTAGCTATTTAGCGGTTAAAAGAGCGCATCACTGTCGAACACGCTTCGTGGCGCTGTTGTTGCACAGGCCAAGGGCTGATTCGCAGTTGCTTTAGGGTAGAGCAGGTGCCCATGTGTGTGGGTGGGGGTGATTGTGCGTGTGTGTGGCTGTGTACGTGTTGGGAAATTCGATGCGTTTTTGTTTTGTTCTTTGATTTTGCATTTGATTTGTATTCAGTTGCATTTGTTACCAATTAAAATCGACTCACACTTGTCTTTTGCGTATCTATGTCCTACCCACACCCACAGAACAAAGGTGCAGGCGCAGCGTAAATTTGCACAAGGCCAGAGCGCGCCCACCGCTGCAGGCGGTTTCAGTGCGGTCAACGTTGCAGCAGCAGCAGCATCCTCAGCATCAGCGTCTGGACCCAGCACATCCACTGAAAGCCACCAACCACCGATTGAGATATTGCCAAATAAGTGTCCCAAGGCACATGATTTTGTCACATTTCTCTGTCTACGCGGCACCTCGGCTTTGCCCGCCCATTTGGACTATTTGAATCAGGGCAAGAGCAAGGCAAATGAAGCTCCACCAGCCAGCGACACCAGCAGCAACAGTAAAAAAAAGAATATTGGCAAGAAGAAACGCGGCAGACCCGCCAAAACAGCAGCAGCAACGGCAACAATCACAGCTAAAGCTAAAGTTGAGCAAATGCAACAACAGACGCAGCAACAACAGCAGCCGCAGTTGGTGCAGCCAGAACTGGGAACAGCGGATAAAGCAGCTAGTGATAAAACTGAATCTGTGAAGCCTCTGCCAGCAGCTCCTCCTCCTGTGCTCCTAGCGGGCGCAGTGCGCAAGCGTGCCGAAGTAGTAGCCGAGGGCAATAGACGAGGCGCCAGGCGCACTGAGATCTTAAAGCGACGCTCGAATCGCGCCAGCAATAAGGAAAAGGAAGATGAATCAGAACAAACTAAAGATGATTCCGCTCAGCAAGGGGAAGACGAGGAAGAGGACGACGATGATGAGTTTTTCTCGGCCCACGATGCGAGTTCACGTAATGGTGGCGCTGATGAGACCAAGTCGGAAACGACACACTCGAATGCCAAACGCGGACGCAACCAAGCAATATCAGCAGCAGCGGCGGGTAGAAAATCACGAGCGGCTGTTTCTCCAGCGGTGACCGAGAACAGCAGCAGCAAGGATAAGGAAAAGGGTCCTGTGAAGCGGGTGCGGCAACGGGAATCGCCTATATTCATACCCTCGCCAGAGTCGTCGGGGCGTATGACACGCCAGCGGGCTTTTTTTGAGCCCGTCAAGGTGCCGCCCAAGCAGGAGCCGGACACGGAGGATGAGAAGGAGAAGGAAAAGGAGGTGCAGGAGCAGAAGAAGACCGCTGCAGCGACCGAGACCAAGAAGCAAGCAAGCAAGATCAGCAAGGAGAAAACCAACTCAAGCATTTATGCCAAAGATGCGGCCAAGAAGCAATTAGAAAACGGAAGCACAACCTCAACTGTGACAGCGACCGAACAGCAGAAGGGGCTGAATGTATTTGATTTCAGTTCCGACGATGAACAGCCGCTGGCCAAAGCCATAAAGCTGAAGAAGGGAGCTAAGAAGAGTGCAGCAGGAACAGGGGCAACTGCAGCAGCAGCAGCCGCCAYAAGCAACGCACGTGGGCGCAAGTCAGCAGGCGGATCAGCAAAAAAACAGCAGCAGCAACGAGAAGAGGAGAAGGCAGAAGCAGCTAATGCAACGACACCCAGCAAGACGGAGGCGGAACAGCCCAAACCGAAGCGAGGAAAAGCGCTCAAAAAGAAAGCCGAAGAGGATACTGAACAGCAGGAAGAAGGAGATGGAGAGTCAGAAACGTCGCCGCCCTCGCCCAAAAAGCTGGCCCAGAGTGCTCGTCCCGTGCGTCGTCAGGCGCAGTCAAAGGCAAGCAAAGCCGAGCGATCAGTGAGTCCCAGTCCGCAGCGGAGTCAACGGCCGTCGCGAAAGACGAAGGAGGCGGCGGCCATCTATATGGGCATCATTGGACACAAGCTGCAGATGGCCGACGATGAGGAGGATGACCTATCGTTGAGCAGCTTTCCAGACATACCTAATGTCAAGCAAATGGAGAAGATGGAAAAGGAGATGAAGAAGAATGCGTCTGGCAAATCAGGAACAGCAGAAGCTTCAAAAAAGTCTAATAAATCCGCAGCTGCAGCGGAGACGGAAAATGCAGCAGGAGCAGCAGGTACAACAACTGCAGTTGCAGCTGCCGAGCATACTCCGGCTCTATCCTCCCCAGAAGCGACAACAGCAGCAGCGCCACCAGCCCCAGCGAGACGTGGTCGTCCGCCCAAGCAGGCAAAAGGGGCAACGGGTGGTGCGAGTGGATCAGCGGCTCCGACTGGCAAGCCACAAATAGAGGGCATGCTGGTAAAAAAGGGTGCACTGGCCCTGGCCAAAGCCAAGTCCGAACAGCAACAACAAAAAAACCAACAGCAGCAACAACAACATCAGCAGCAACAGAAAGACGACTCCGATGCGGAGGAGGATTTTTTAATTAATGAGGAGCTAAACGAAACCAAGCGCAAGCTGGAAAAGAGTTTTAGCGACTCAGATGATGAGCCATTGGCCATTAAAGTGCCCTCAGCAACAGCCACAGCAGCGGCAGCAGCAGCAGCTGCAGCAGCAACAACAACAGCAGCAGGAGAAGTGACCACAACAACAACAACAGCAGCAACATCTGCAACAACAACCAAAGCTAGCAACAACAAAGCTGAAGGTCCAACAACAACAGCAGCGGAAGCAACAGTTGCAACAGCAGGCGTAGCTGCAACAGCAACAACAACGGCGGCAGCAGCAACAACAGCAGCAGTTGCAGCAGCAACAACAGCAACAGTGGCTGCAACAACAACAACATCACCCACTCTTAAGCCTTTGACCCCGCAACCCAGTTGTCCACCCACTGCGCAAGGCACCACGCAGCTAACGATGCTGCCACTGACCACCAAGCCCATGCCTTACTCCATATCGCCGCCCAGCTATGCGTCGGCTGCAGCCACACTGAAGGCCATGGAGAAGAAGTCGCCGGTGCCCACGTCGAAGATACTTAATGTGCCCGCCACGTATGCGCTCCCAGGTGCTGCGGGCGGCGGTCTAAGCACGGCAGCTGTGGGATTCGCGAAGACCTCATCGTATTTGCCGCAAGCATCGCCGCATTATCATACGCCGTATGTGCGACCTTCGACATTTGGAGTTGCTGCAGCGGCGGCGGCAGCAGCTGCTGCTGGCAACAAGACGCCCCAGCACCAACAGCAGCAGCAGCAGCTATCATCAACATTGGCCACAGCCAGCAGCGTGACGTCCCCGCTGAAATATCAGACGCCACCCACAACTTATCCGCCGCCCATTGAGGCGTATCAGTGCCCCAAGATAAATCCCAATTTTCTAACGCCCAAATATGAGCGCAGCAGTGTTCTGCCGCGYGCCAACAACATTGTCAACAACAACAACAGCATCGGCAGCGTGGCAGCGAGCAATGCGCTGAGCAACAGCAGCTTTACGGCTACGACAGCAGCGCGCTCCACGCTCAACAGCCTCACGACGCCTGTGGCAGCCGCACCAAAGAGCGTAACAGTTAGTCAGAGTCAAAGTCTCAATCTCAGTCTAAGTGCCACGCCCTCGCCGATGGCCTCCACATCGGCGGCGGCAGCAGCTGCAGCGGCTGCTGCAGTCGCTTCGCAGCAACACCAACATCATCAACAGCAACAACAGTTGCAGCAGCAGCAGCAGCAGCAGCAACAACAACAACAGACTCAACAGCAGCAGCAAGCGTCGACAGCGCCAAGCCAACTGCAGCTGACAGCAGCAACAGTTGCAGCTGCAGCAGCAGCAACAACTACCACAACAACACCTGCAACACAGACCAGCAACAGCAATGCGGACCCGCTGAAAGATGAAATCGGCAGCATCCTGGCACAGGCCACGCTCATGCCCAGCAAAGAGGAGTCGGGCAAGATTTTTGGCATAGCCAGTGTGAGTTTGGCCCAAAGCTCCGGGCCGGACAACACCAAATGCACGCTGGGCAAATGTGGTTCCATACACAAACCGGTGCTGGGGCCGGTGGTGCCCACCGAGGGATACTTTGGCGATCAGCTGTCGAGCAAGGAGCGACGCAAGGCCAAGGTGAACATGACGCACGAGCAGATACAAAAGTGGCTGATCGAGTGTAGCTCGAATCCGGATGAGATCCAGGATGATCTGGACGACGATTACGATGACAGCTTACGGCCGCAGCAGGCGCAAACTCCACCAGGACCCACCACCCGCGATGACAAAGAGAGCACCAGCTTCAGCAGCTCCTCGAAGAATACTCGCGGCGAGCTGGGCAAGAGTGAGAGCGCCTGGTCAGCCAAGGGCCCGTCCCTGAAGGCGACCCCAGTGCTAGTCAGCAGCGCTACAGCGGCGGCAACAATTGCCGGCAATCGCAAGGATACAGAGGCAGAGCCCGAAACGCTGGACTTTGACAAGTGCATGACGCCCGTGAATCTCACCCAGAAATCGCAGCTGGAAACATCGGCGGGAGACAAAAAGCCGAAGAATGCAGCCAGCAATAGTGCAAAGGCAGCTGCAACGCAGCCTGCTGCAGCAGCCGCTGGAGCGGGCAGCAAACGAAGCGCCACTGCCACGCCTACGCCCAGTGCAACGCCCACGCCGCCACCGCCGCCGCCCAGTAAACAGAAGACAGCTAATAAAAAGCAGACAAATGCCGCCGCAGCGGCAGCAGCAGCCGCTGCTGCAAAACAAACAACGCCACCGCCCAGTCCGAGCAACACTAAAGCAGGAGCGTCAACGCCAGCCACGCCTACCAAGCGAACGCCTGTTTACCAGAGCCAGAGCAAGGCCAAGGCCCAAGCCCAGGCAGAAAGCAAGCAGCAGCAGCAGCAGTCGACCAAAGTTGCCGAAAAAACTTCTATTTATGCCTTTGGCAAGGAGGAGGATTCAGCAGCAGCAGCAACAGCTGGAGCAGGTGGAGCTGCAGCAACAACTGTTGCTGCTGGCAAAGCAACAAATCGTCGTCGCAACGCAGACAACGATACAGCAGCGCCTCCGCCGGCGCTCAGCGAGCGCTCCCCGACGAAAAAACGCGCGGCTGCAGCGGCGGCAGCGACGGCAGTGCAGTTGACGCTCAGTCCCACGGATAAGCTGGAGAAGCCCAATAAAGCAGCAACAGCATCAGCAGCAGCGCGAAAGAAACAACAGCAACAACAACAACAGCAGCAGCAACAGCAACAAGCAACAGCAGCTCCGGCAGCCAGCACAGGTGGAGATTCTGATGCTGAAGGCGCCACCTTCTATATACCACTGCTGCAGGGTGCAAGCGGCGGTGGTGAGGGCGGCATACAAGGCGTGGCCGTCAAGCTGGGCCGTGAAGGTCCCGACGGGCCTAATCAGAAGGTCGTGATGCAGGCAACGCTCGTAACTAAAGCGCAAATGGACACCAATTCCTCAAAGCCGCTGCCGGACAATGAGCTGGTCAAAACGCTGCTCAATGCCGCCAACACGAGCAGCGATGCCGTTGCCGCCGTCATAGCAGCCACCAACAGCCTGAAGGCCAGCACATCATCTGCAGCAGCARCAGCAGCGACAGCGGCGGGCGCTGCAGCAACGGGCCTGGTGCGCGTCAATTCGAATTCTTCGCTCTTCTCCGGCTCTGGCAAGTCGCGCACTGCTGCAGTGACTGCCGCCTCGACAGCTCTGGCCAAGAAGTACAAGGATGATACGCCCATTAAGATGGCCAATAATACGGCATTTCCGCGACACGATGACCCCACACAGATGGTCGAGGCGCCTATATTTAAGCCCACCGAGAAGGAGTTCGCCGATCCCATTGAATTCATTGAGCGCATCACACCGATCGCTGCCCGCTTCGGCATCTGCAAGATCATACCGCCGGCCAGCTTCAAGCCCGAGTGTCGCATCTCGGATGAGATGCGCTTCACGGCGTACAATCAGTATGTGCACAAGATGCTACACCGCTGGGGGCCCAGTGCCAAGGAGCTGAGTGCGATCAAAAAGTACTTGGCCACCCAGAGCATTGTGATGAATCATGCGCCCTGGATTGGTGGCATGGAGGTGGATCTGCCGCGTCTATATCACACCGTGCAGGAGCTGGGCGGCCTGAAGGAGGTTATCGAGAAAAAGAAATGGGCCCGTGTGGCCGAAGAGATGTGCATACCGAAGCTCGCACAGGATCGTGTTACCAAGCTGGACGACATCTACTGCAAGTACTTGTTGCCCTACGACACCCTCTCACCGGCAGAGCGGCAGAAACTCTTTGATGAGGTCGAGGCGGATTGGGCGAAGCGAGAGGCACGCGCTCGACGCAATGCGGATCGTTTTGTGAATAGCACCGAGAGCGTTTCGAACGAGGAGGACGATGTATCCACGGACGAGGACGAGGAGTCGGAGGAAGAGATCGATGGCGTTTCGATGGAGTGCATTGTCAAGGGCCGCAGCATGGCGCTCAGTCAATTCTATCGAATAGCGCGCAACACCATGGCCCTGTGGTTCAAGAGCACCGATCCGACGGTCAACGAAGTGGAGGCTGAGTTCTGGCGCCATGTAGCCGTGCGCGACAGTCATGTGTGCGTGCATTCGGGCTCCATTGATAGCTCGGGCTGGGGCTATGGTTTTCCCAGTCCGGGTCCCAAGGGCAAGGGTTCAAACTATGCGCGTCATCCGTGGAATCTCAAGGTTTTGACCAATAATGCGGGCTCCGTGCTGCGCTCACTTGGACCTGTAATGGGTGTCACAGTGCCCACGCTCCATGTGGGCATGCTCTTCTCCGCCTGCTGCTGGTATCGCGATCCTCATGGGCTGTCCTGGATTGAGTATCTGCATACAGGTGCCTCCAAGCTGTGGTACGGCATACCCGACGACCAGAGCGCCAATTTCCGTTCGGCGTTGACGTCACTGATACCGACGCACTGTCAAAATAAGACGATTTGGTTACCCTGTGATACGGTGATGGTGCCTCCACATATGCTCACCGATCGCGGCGTCTCGCTATGCCGCATCGAGCAGAAGCCTGGCGAGTTCATTGTAGTTTTCCCGCGCGCCTATACCTCCAGCCTTGCCACGGGCTATGTGGTCTCTGAGAGCGTCTATTTCGCAACTATGTCGTGGCTCGACTTAGCCAAGGATGATTTCAGGGTAAACCTCGAATATAGCTTGCATATTAAACAAAATTAAAGCATTTAATTTATGTTTTGCCGTTGCAGGACATTCATGAGAGCTGTGAACCGGCAATGTTCTCCCTGGAGCAATTGCTCTTCGCCCTAGGCTACGATCAGCGCGTCAATTCGGATACACTGCAGCAGATGCTTCCCATGCTAAACGAGGTCTGCGAGAAGGAATCAGCGGCACGCGAGCAGCTCAGGGTATGACATCATTAAAATGGAGAAGAAAAATAATTGATAATTGAAAATTTGCATTTATTTTTAGGCCGCTGGCGTCACATCCACCGAAAAAGTGCAGGCGGAGAAGGGTCAAAAGGCCAAGAAGCAACAGCAACCGCCGCACAAATCAATTGAGAGCGAATGCGATCTATGTCGAGCCAATCTGTATATATCAATGGTGCGCACCGAGGAGGGCAACGTCTACTGTTTGCAGCATGCGCTTAAAAATCTCAACAACGGCAACATTCAGGCCAAGCAATGTAAACTAATCTATGCGTACAATGTCGACGATATTCAACAGCTGATACGGCAGCTCCAGGAGAAGATTCAGCACAAGGCAGCCGTTAAGAAAAAGTAGCAACGTCGGCGACGCTACTAAATGAGCGCAATTATGATATAAACGATCTAAAACGATTTAAACGGCAGCGTTTAAGTATCTTTGTACATAGGAAATAGCATATATGCATAAATGTATTTATAAATCTTGTAGCATATAGATTATATATAGATTTATATATATATGTGTGTGTAGGGTTTTCATCGTGGCAATGCTTGCAATTTGACTAGTTTATACAAACATAAATATATATATATACATATACGTGTATAGATATATATTTATAGGCATGCATCAACAATAGGTGTATATAGCAACTAATAATGTTTAAGTAACGCGTATGCAATGATTTTGTTTTCCATTTTCTTTTGTTATTACTGAGTATATATATATATAGATATATCCTGTGTGTTATTGATTGTATATGTATATATACTTATACTGAAAGAATCAACTTAGGAATTAGTTAGCTTACAATTAAGTCAAGAGCTTGCGCTCGCCGTCAGTTAATACAAAGATTTAAGCACACTGCTAACGAGTGGCAATTTCTACTACCTTTTTTACACTAAAATATGTACGATTAACAATTACTATAAGCAACATATAGACATCTGATATGAATGGGAGACGTACTCTTAGATAGCAATAGCAATAGAAATACAAATAGCAGTTGGCCCAGCGCGCTATAACCAAACTAATCGAATGCAAGAATAACTTCCTAAACTCCTGGCAAATCTTGCAGCTGATAGATTTTATAGATGTTCCAGTTTGATGTAATGTACTTTTTAAATATACATGTATGCATTATTTATCATCTACCAGTGCTATATATAGTAAATGGATAAACACACACGCAATCACACAACTCTTGACAAAGCAAACCCACAAAAAATAGTAATGAAAAGTAACTAGACAACAGTCCATATTTCAAGTCAAATGAGGTATGAATGGGAAGTTTAATATAGATGTTCTATGTATTTATATAGTTGTAAAAGTGTAATACAATATTTAATTAACAAGTGCAACAATAAATCTTAACTCGAAATATTACAAGTTGCACGGTATAGTTTTCACTTTCGCCTGATTATTGCTATATAGTACACCTATGTATTTAATCCGTATCCTAATTAACGGCAGCAGCTTTATGGAGACTACGTTATCTTACCACACGATCACATCCATTTATATTCATGTATATAGTATTCGAAAGTACAGTGCTTAACCTACGGCCACATCTTAAGTACGATCTATACAGCCTACATAAGGCAGCACTAAGCCTTCGGTTTTTTGGTTGGCTTCAAACAATCCGTAGTCTTTGCTGAGCGCTTTAGAGCGCCACTTGCAACATTTGGTTGGGTCTCCATGGGCTTGCCTTTGGCCATGACATCCTCGAGTTGACGTTTGAGTTCGAACACTTGGGTTGCCAGTTCTGTAATGCTGCCCATCGCCTCCTGCAGGCGTCGGTCCTGTTGTCTTCGTGAATTTTCTAGAAGGCGCACTTTCATCGTCAGCATCTTTTGCGTTTGCAATTGGCGCTGCAGCTGTTTCGCTTGATAGTTATATTTGCAATGACATTCAGTGGCATTTTTAACATTATCGGTGGTGGGCAGTGATTTGGCCAATTGCAATGCTTGCAGCAATGCATTATTTTTGTCGTTCATACAATGCATATTGTGACATCGGGCTGGCGGAAGCAACGGTTCCCGGTGCGCCAGTGGCTGCTGGATCATCGGTTGCTGCTGGTGAATCTTCTTTAAAGCACTGACCTTGACGCCATTGAAGCTGATGTCACCCAGGGAGCCGCAGACAACAACGCGCGCGTTGGAGGACTCGTTCATTTTCAAGGCTGTCTTAAAGTTTATAGCAATTTTCTCATCGAAGTGCTCAATTGCCATTGAGGAGATGTCGCGCAATTCCTGTAGCACTTCATGCGGACGCAACGGCTTGGTTGTGCCTCCCAACAGTTTCAATATATTATTAATTTCATCCAGGACGCGACCGGGTATAAAGCAGCATATCTTCAAATCGATAAACTTGGAGTACGTCATTGTGAGCATTGAAATACGTGTCTCGATGGAAGTCAGGATATCCGAGTGACGTGCCAGCATATGGTTGCTGAATAATACAGATATTTTATCAAATTCCACAATCAGTTTAATATTGTATGACCTACCGACGCTCTGACTCGCGACGTGGTAGTAGTGATTTAATCCTTTTGAAATTCTTGGCATGCTCCTTCACAACTCTATTAAATCCTGTGTTCAATACCTGTTGGCAAATATAGTTGAAGCGAGTGCAAACCTAGAACATCGCAGAAGTTTATGGAAGCGTCTAGGAGTTAGTTACGATTCACGAGTTGCACTTTATTACATACCTCGCGCTTTTTGGCTACCTCATCGTATGAGAGTAACTCGAAAATGTCCATTAGCACCGTATCTGGTAGATCTAAGATATGCATTATTCAGTTTTACTTCGATGCGACTGATGCGAATTCAGTTAAAGATTAAATATAACACCCAAACGATTCGGTAGCAAACACAGCAAATGGTAGACGAAAACAAACTAATGAAAAGAAAAATTATAGGCGTTGCCAGACTGCCTGTTGCTTGCGCGCAAATGCTGAATAATGTGACACGAATGGAGTAACTGTAACGGCAGTTTTGGTTTTGTTTTCTTTAAATGGTGGTAATTTGAAAAAAAAAGGATTTTATTCAACAAATTTGTTGAGCAATGATTACGTCGACTGAAATAATAAACATTAGTCCAGCTACTACACATTGCTCGGAGCTTGAATACTTGATAGCATTACAATCAGAGGAGGCGGGTTCGCAGCTGCGTCGCTCCCAACGTTTACGTGAGAAAAATTCGACTAAGGATGCTCTCGAATGTGCTACAGTTGCATCAGCTGAAGATAGAGCTGGCTCGCCTCAGCTCTTTGAGGAAATAGATGAAGAATGTAGCCAACTGGCTCAAATTCCACCCAACCACATAGACACACCAAAAATTTCAAGCAAAGGAGCGCCAGAAAAAACTCTGGAATCAGAATTAAAGAATAATGGATTAGAGAAAACTCGCTTTGGCCGCATTCGCTCAGCATCGAGAAAAAGAGGAAGGCGTCCGAAAAAGAAGACTGAGACAGCTCAGGCGGTTACAGCACAGATTGATCCGGTTTCAGCGTCGGTCAAAAGACGTGGACGCTCGAAAAGGAAGACTAAGGTAGCTCAGGCGCTTACAGCACCGCTGTCTGAGCCGGTGTCAGAAATAATGCCTCTGGACCGCTTTCATCTAAGCTCCCAGCAGCAGATAGCAATATCAATGCCAGACAAATCCAAGTCTAAATCCAGGACTAATCGAAAGCATTCTAAAAGCCAAGCAAAGCCTGTGCAAAGCCTTCAACTAGAACAACAACCAATTATGACTTCTAACGCCGGCAAAGAGAGAGATTCAGCAGGGATTTTGCAGTCCACAACGACTAATCCATTGGCAGCTGTAGTCCCACCAAAGGTGTCCACAGTGGACACCAACTCGACTCAATCTCATTCATATCAGTGTGTGAATTTAACTCAGACTCTCTTGCCGGAGCGTTACCCAGCTCATTTTATCCATCAGCTACCATCGGCACCGAAATATGCGACTGGAACCATTATTTCGGGTGAATTACAACGTGTCAGCTCCGCAACAATGGTCGATGAATCAAATCAAATGTCTGATTCGATATCTACTGATAGCGAAAAGCTTTCACCATCCCCACCGAACGTTGAATCGTGGGGCTCAACGACGCCATCTTTAAGTGAATCACTAACCGAGGTGTTTGGTACTAGGAAAATTCGAGATGCGTTGAATATAGCATTGCCACGCCAGTATCGAGTGCAGGAATCTCAGCTGCCCGACATTGCATTCATGCTGGGCGTTAAAGTCGAGCGCCTGCGCAACGTCTTGGAGTTAACTGAGCGCTTGACTCTGGATGAACTGCAGCAATCGCGATATGAATCGCATGACTTGTCTAGCGAAGAGGAGGTGGAGTTAGTAGGAAAGTCATGTCCATATAAACTTACAACAAAATCTTATAAAATTGTAGGTTAATTTGTATATTATTTTGTCATTTATCATTTGGAGCAGCAGTGACGCATCCCCAAACGTCGTCTTTAGGCTTAATTTAAATAATCAAATGTGAAAGCATCATCTAAATCCTGATTCACATCGAGTGGCAAATCTAAAACTGATATCGATTACAATTAATTTCGTCAATCGAGCATCGAAAGTGGGCAACGTCACTGCGCGCCCATTTTTTGAAACTAAACTGATTGTTTTCTTTGAATTTGCATTTGGTTTTCTTGATTTGATTTTTAACTTAAGCGATCATTTAAATTGTTGTATTTTGTATAATTTAGTTGGTAATTGGTATATAATGCATTTTTTTTTGTTGCCTAAGACTTTCAGAGTGCACAGAGACAGAGAGAATTGTTTAAACCTTCATCATCTTATTTTTGTTTTTGTTATAAATATCCTAAATCTAATCGTTATCTAAACTTCAATATAATTCATAATTGTTTTTTTTTTCTCCTTCAATATGTATGTATTAATTATGTAATTATATACAAGCGCTCAGACTTGGAGACATTTTTTAGTAGTCGCTGTCGTAGCTAACATCCTGCTGCGCCTGCGTTGAGTCGTCGGAACGCTCCGATGTTGGTTCAAAGTCAACATCAAGAGCATTGTCATTAGCTGGACAGCAATTGGGATGCGCCATTGAATCGAAGGCATCTTTGATTTGATTGTTGGCCCCCTTGGGATCCAGATCGGTGGCCCAGCTGAAATGCATCAGTGCCAAATCCATGTTGCCCAGCGTCTTGTGTATTTTACCAATTAGATAAAACACAACTGACTCCTTTGGCACAATTTCCTTCAGCTCCTCCAGCTCGCGCAATGCCTCTTGATATTTGCCCAATGAGAAATATATTGAGCCGCGATGGAATCGGGCCAACGGATTTTTCGGATCTATCGTAGCTGCCGTATTCAGCGTCTGCAGTGCCAAATCCTTCTTCTGCATGAAAAACTGCATCGCTCCAATGTGCACCAGAATGACCGAGTTCTGCGTATTGATCTTGAGTGCCTTGAGATAGTGCAGCTCGGCCAGTTCGTATTTCTCCTGCTTGGAGTAAATGGTGCCTATGCCAAACCAGGCATTATAATGCCGCGGATCGCGTACAACTGCTGCCCTAAAATAGTCCATGGCCTTGTCAAATTCCTCGGTAAGTACCAGTTCGTGGCCCAGGAGCGTGTAACTGTAAACGAAGTCGGGATCCACTTGCACCGCCCGCTTAAAGAATTTGATGGCCGTCTCATGCTCCTTGTGCAGTGAAAAACAATTGCCAGCCACACACCACGTAACCGGACTGCGCTTATCCTGTGCAATCAGGTCCTGCGCCAGGGCCGATAACGCCACCTCCTTTTGCAAGTGCCATAGGGATGTGGAATAGATTTCCATGTACTCCAGGCGACGTGGCTCCATTTCGTGTATCCGCTTGAATATGACCACAGCAGCTTCGTATTCACGCAGCTCATAGCGACACAAGCCAATCAGCGATTGCACCCAACTCGAGTTCAGATGATGCTTTGGTATAGTTGACTCCAGATGCATAATGGCCGCCTTGCATTGAAACGACGACAGTAGTTTGTAGCCCTCGGCAAGGTCCCGGAGAAGCAGCATTAGACCGTCTGCCGATTGCTTTTTCATGGTTAGCAACTGATGCGCCAGTGTTTGGGCATTATTCAGGCTATTGTTTAGCAGGACTTTGGCGTCGTCGGCGCTGCGATTGTTTACTCCTGTTTGATTGTTGCCGCCGGCTGTCGCAGCCGATGTGATTGTTTCTACTTTTTCTTTCTCCTTGCGTGATTGCTTTTCGCTCAGCTTCTCGGCGAGATGGTGATGCGACTTCTCATCAATGAGCTCGTTGCTTAAACAGATTTTCGTCATGCGTGACGATTTGGTTTTACGTGGCGGCGATCGCGGCTGAACAAATTTATTGTTATTCGTGATGTTGGGCGATTTGTTATTCTCCTTGACCGAGTATGCCGAATTGCTGAATAACCGCGAGCTGCGACGCACCGCCGCATTAGGATTGGGCGGACCATTGCCCACCACATTGTTTGGCGTACGGGGCGTTATATTGCCAGCCTGCGTAAAAACGGCGGGTTTACTCTTGTCCTGACGATTGATGAGGCCACCAACATGCGCCTTAAATTTCTTTCCCATCATTTTTGGCTCTTGATTAACCTCCACAAGCATTTGGGGCAATGGCGAATACGCAGACACACTCAAATTGGCTTGCAATACAGCTGAGCCGCCATCGGAGGGACTAGTCAGCGGCATAACGCCAAAGCTGGGAGTTAACGGTGATATTGCAGACAAATATTTGAATTGCTTCCGAAACGGTGTGCCGCTGTTGGTATCATACAATTGCTGCGGGTGCTGTTGATGCAGTTGTGTGGGAGCATCATGCGTTGCATAACCCATAGGCGTGTCCTCGAGCAGCATCATACTTGAATTGGTGTTCTGCTGCTGTTGAACGCCACCGCCGCCACCACCTCGCAGCATGGTAATAGAGCTGTTGAGATTGTTATTGTTGTTGTTGTTAATGTTGTTGTTTGGTGTCATCAGATTCTGTAGGGTGGACAAGCTGCTGCCGTTGTTGTTTTGCTGCTGTTGCTGCTGCTGCTGCTGATTGTGGTCCACTGGGGTATTTAGTATATAATGTGAATTATTGCTTATATTGTTTAGCAAAATATTCTCTAGCTGTTGTTGCTGCTCGTTAGCAGAGCTGCCGCTGAACAGCACCATCGAATTGGCGTTGGCGCTGCTGCCTTGGCAAGTGTTGAACACATCAGTGCTTTGAATTTGGAATATTGCCGCGGTATCCGTGTCCTGACCCAGCAGGCACAGATCGGCAAACGCATGCCACATGAAAGGGTTCAGTTTGAGCGCTCGCCGTAGTGCATTCACCGCCAGCTTCTGGCGCTCTGTGCGCATACAAATCTGCGCCACCAATTGATAAGCGAAACAGGCAATATCCCCAAACTCACGCTGCAGCTCATCGAAATGTTTGCTATCCGCAAATCCACTCGAAACCAGAGCACTTTCCGCCTCTGCGTACTTTTTCAGCTCGTAGGCGCATTTGGCCTGCAAGTAGCGGCATTGGGGGGAGCGTCGCGACTTCTCTTGTAGCAGCCAATAAGCTTGATCCAATTGATTTGAACGATAATAGCTGGTGGCTAACAAATATATTGTCTCATCGCTTTCCACTGCAAGAACAAAGCCCATCAACCATACATTTTTTATATGTAAGTATAAGAAGTGAAGGTTTTACTAACCTTCTGAGCAGAGCCGTTCCGCCAGGAAAACTGCATCCCTATTATCGTAGTGGTTCAGACAGTGCCATATGGCGGCCTATTCAAAGCAGATTGAAAATAAATATAGAAAAAATGTATGATTTTTTTTTACTGTAATCGTTTGCTATCGATTTACCTGTACAGGCTCTTGTATCATCATGATTTTTGAATTTAATGTCTAACTGTTTGTAGAAACTCTGTATCCGCTCCGACGCCACGACGCCACGAGCTTTTCTCTTAGCTAGGCGCCCTAGTTACACTTTTAATCCGGTTTCGGTAACAGTATCAGTTTTCTAGGGGCCTTTTTATGCTTTACATACGTAAACTAGATACACGCAATGGATCATGCTGCAGTCAATCCGCACGATGTGCAATTTTCCAGAAATTTAATGGAAAAATAGTGTCGTGTGTGTGTAACTTTAATGCGGGGTGTGCTGCGGTTCCGCTGCTTCTACTGCTGCTGTTCCCTGACCACCACCTCTAATATTGCGCTGGCGAGGCTTCTCTTCTTCTTAAAGCACGTACCTCACCACTCCGTACGTCGTCAGTCAGTTTTTCGTAACAATTTTCAAGGCCTTTGCATTAGCTATACCGCAAACACACACACTCACACATTACAGAATAGACTTGTTTTATTGTAAACCGAGTTATATATCATATACAGGCAAAATTTAAAGCCTTTCTGGTTCCATTAAAAAACTAAAATTTGTCGAATTATTTCCGTGTGATTGGCGATGCCAGCAAATTAATTGCCATTCTCTCGCGTAACGATGTGTGAATGTCGATAACTATGCAAACACCATAAGTCGCCATCGATATCGCGAAAGGATAATTTTTAAATAAATGTTTACCTATGTAGACATTTACATATATAAATATTTTTGTTTTTTAATATTACGTATATATATATAAAACTATCTTAATTGCTACACTATTACTATTTGTGCATCTATTGCGAATCACTTGAACTAGAACTTGAGCTGTCTGTGGACATGACCTCAACATCATCCTGAGCTGAAGATTCTTTGTGTGCACGTGTTTCTAGAGCAACAGAGTTGCCAGATGCTCCCATCATATGCAGTTCACCAAGATTCCAACTGAATTGATTTTGGAATGCGTTTGGTACTTCGTTTCCACTGCCCGCGCTGCTGCCTCCAGTACCGCTCAAATTGCGCTGGGCATCTGACTGAATAGCGCTATTTTGATGCGTGACAAGTCCGCCGTTTATGTTCTGTTCAGATTTACCCAAGAGTCCATTCCGCATTTCAATGTCTGTAGGATATGGCCTTCGAAGATCCCCAATGCACCAAGTCAATGGAGCGCTCACTGCATTTGCTGAACTAATGCGGTGTGCGTATTTTATGAGTTCCTCAGATGACACCGGGCGCTTATTGGCCTGATTAATGCTAGCCAGCTTTTGGCGTGCCTGAAATATGGCTGTGGAGAGTATAAGCTCTGCGTCTTTCAGTGATTTTTGTAGTTTTTGTATTTCACGATCCTATAATGAGATTTTAGTTTTAGATCAGATGTATATCAGTTGTAACAATTAGACCACTGACCAGAGAACAGTGATTAGACTTACATGTATTTCGACTTTAGCACGCAATTTGTCCATTGCTTCCTCCACTTTAGCCTGCTCCTCTGCCAACTCCAACATTTTTCTAAACTCCTCATCTTTGGAAACCAACAAGTCGAGCAAATCCGCCAATTCGGTGCTGGATATTTTTTGATGCGCTTGTTCTATTAGTTCCTTAGATATCATTTCAATATCATCAATTAGCAGCAATAATCGCTCTTTAGTACTTAAATGAAACGACATGTTTTGCTGACTCGAGTAATATTTTTCTTATTATTGTTTTTATATTCTCTACTTTTACATGAAAATGTCGAAAGTATTTGCAAGACCAACTAAAGTATCGATGCCATAAACAAGCTTGGACGATAGCTTGTTATCGATATACTTACATATTGTGCCAAATCTATCCGCTAAATATATTACTTGGTCACACACAAAGTGACATAAACATAAACAGCTGTTTGTTGGGCTAAATCTGCCCAAGCAACAGACGCTAAAATTGGAAGAGCGCAAACGAAAACAAATTAGTTTATCAAAATTTAAGCGATATATTAGTTCCATTTAGATTAGCCTATTAAATATTATGGGCGTGCAATAATACTTAAATTGTGAAAATGTTACAGTTACTAATAGTAGTTTTACTTATTTTTCTCTTTATTTACTGGTAAGTGCAACCGCACCGATGGAAACTCAAAAACAGCTTTAAGTTTATGGTTTTTCTTATTATCTAATTAGGATTTTACCCACGGGCATAAGTTGGTATTTAATAAAACGTTTTCGGGTTAAAGTTCGTATTGGTCGCATTTCGCTTCCCTATTTATCGCTTAAGAATGTCCACATCAGCAAAAGCGGTTTCTCAGTCGTAAGTGCGAGTTAATTATACCGTAATGAAACGCCCCTATAATATGAAATTGCTCATGCTTTCAGCAAATCGAGGAGGTTTGCCTGCGCAGTCGATTCTTCACCACTGAGGTGACCAAGCTGGTGTCGATTTATGTGCGCGACATACGTATCAATAAAGATATACACAGCAATCGGCAGGCTGACGTCAGTGATGGCTTCTATTACGAGCCGCGAAAACAGAAGGCCGAGGGCAGGGCTGTACCCGACTTCCGCGAAAGCAAGGTGCCCGCCAGCATTATAACATTTGCACAATTTATGGCTGTGCATGTGAATAACATATCAGTGGTGTTAATGAATAATGACTTCGATCCGGGTTGGTTTATACATGCCACAGCCAAGGAGCTGCATCTGGATGGAAGCATTGTGCAAAATGCGAGAGTTCTGCTCGTCAATGCAGCGCTGTCTGAGGCGCAGGCTAAGATGTTAAGGCATTGCAATGCTAGGCGACAGTCCTTGGAGAATCTGAATAAAATTCGACCCTGCTTGGGTGAAGTTAGCTTCGATGTAGCACTTGACGCTTCTCTCTTTGCCCACGGACCACTCTCAATGGACGTAAGTGGTGACTGGTATTAAATAAATATGCATTTATATCGACTAATGTACTCTCCTTTTAGACTCTCAGCTTGGTCATTAACAATTGCAAGTCAGTGATACATGGCGGTCTCTACGAGTTCCTTACCGAGGCCAAGCAGCGCACCAATCCTGGTCAAAAGTCGAAAACTTTACAGCAGGCATTTACACCCAGTGCAAGCAGTTATGACAACGACAACTATGAGAGGCTGGCGCCTATTATTCCAAAGAACTTTAACTTCAGCGTTAAGGCAGCAACGTTTTCCGCCGTCAAGGAAAACTCACAAAATGATTTTAGTGCTAAATTACAGCTTTTTACCGTAGGCTAAATTGCACTGCCAATTGCGTTAAATATGGCTGATAACAACTGTTTTTATTGTTTAGATAACGGGCAAATTCAACTCAAAGATTGTGGATGAAAAGACTCTGCTGCCCTCGATGTTGGCCAAGTTGGTTTTTCAACATCTGGACATTGATACCAAATACGAGAAACTGCTATTCGTGGAGCAATTTACTATAGACTCAGTGGTTAGTTAGCTACTCATTACATATGGCTTACTGCATCCTATACACTATTTTCTCTTTTTCAGCTGGAAAAAGACATATTCAATCTATATGTGAAGCTCAAGACATTCCAAATTATTTACAATCATAGCGAGATCTATGATTTTGTAAACAATAATTTTCTGGCTCGACAGCGAGCAAGCAGCAGTCATCAGTTACTGCAGTTGGGCCATAAGCAAATGTCGCTGCCGGATCATTTATGTTTGGACGCACTTACTCCACTAACAACGCCAGCCAAACAGCGTCGTGATGGAGGCATTCTAGAGTGGATTATGCAGCGCATTGTGGTCAAAGGCTGTGCCGAGCTGTGGAACGTTTCGCTGCTCATGAAACTGGAAGATGAACACATAGCCATGAGCGTTAGTCACACGCGTTTTCTGCTCGAGCAGATCGAGGAAAAACGCAGTTCTCTATATCGCAATAAGTTTCTTAATTTGCTGCTCAATCAGCGACAATGGAGCATGGAGCTAATGGTGGAAACGCTGTGGTCTAATCTGGGCAACTCCAACAACGACACAAACAATTTGAAGAAGACGCATTCACCGGGCTCTCCATTCTTCCTGGGCGTCAGCCTAGTCAAGTTGTGCTCCTATGCAAATACCACAAAACTGGACATCTCTGTTCATACGTTCCGCACCGAGTACAGCATGCAATTGGCTGAATTCATTGTGAAGTCGATGTGGTGTGTTAAGCAGTATGGAGGACTAGGCACAAAGCGTGCCAAGCAATCACAACATCGACCTAGCAGCGTAGCTGGAGAGCAGCACAGTGGCATGGCGCTGCGTGTTTCTGTTAAAGTTAAGGATATTACGGCATATTTTGTCAACCATCATAATGTTTACATGCTGCTGAGCTTCTCAGAGATTAATCTGACTCGTGCCCATAATTTCGCAACTCTTAAGCTGGAGGAGTTCCAAATGGCCATCATGCGTTCGATGACTGCGTCCTCGCTGTGTCTCACGGACTTTTCAGATGTGTTTGCCAGTTGCAAAATGATACGGCTGGAGCATCAACCAGCGTTTGAGTGTACGCCCGGCAAGCTGTCGATTTATATACCCGGCAACACCGAGGCCATGTGGAGCTCCAATTTGCACATGCATCTGTTAACTCTTGTGCGGGATATGAAAGACCTCAAGGCAGAGCTAGCCATGCCGCCATCCAGTAGCACAGACAACCAGAAGCCGAAACGTTCGCTGATTATTGAGCTGTCCGCGGAGCGTAGCACTATTTTTGAGTTGAAGCTATCGGAGCGTCATTCAATACAGCTATACGTTGAGAATCTCTTCTTTAGCCACAAGGAGCGCAATATTATCTACGCGGAGAAAGTCTTTGTCAGAATCGATGACCAGCATATCTTTACGGTCAAGGAACTGGACATGCAGTCCCTGTCGCATCTGGAAACGCTTAGCCATGAACGGCTCAACTTTCCAGGATTTGTGCTGCCCACCAACAAGGTGTGGGTAACCACCATTGGTTCCTTCAAGGCGATTTTCCCATATGATCATGATTTTTATGATGCCATCAACAATGAGTGTGTCACCCACTACAAATGGCTGAAGCTGGTGCACAACTACAAGAAGAAGCCGTTTACAGTGAATTCTCCTCTTCCCAGCGATTGGGTGATAAAGATCAAAGAGTTTCTCCTAGAGATCAGTGACGATCCGTTCGAAGTGAAGCTGCGTGATAACTATGTGCTCTTGGTCGACGAATATCTCGAAAGTCTGAAGCGGAAGTCTTTGTTTGACATGAAGATTGCTGAATTGTGCTCGGAACGGTTGCTGGTGCCCGCAGGCACCATCGAAAGTCTCTACGCGAATCTGGTCAAGAAGAACTCAGAGATCTACATACAACGCTCTAAGAAAATACGGGAAAGTGGGCCAGTGCGCACACGCCTGCTCGCTTGGATCATGACCGATGTGGAAATCTTGGCCATGGCGGATACCTCAATACACGGCTACGACAATGTGACGCGTACCATGCGCGAGATCGACTCGGAAAGTCCGTGGCCAGAGGAGGGACTGCAATTTTCCACGCTGTGGTGCCGTGGCGTAAACATCAGCTGCTCCGAATGGAAATTTATGCTGCGGTAAGTTTGGATATCTATATGAAATCAACCGATTATATATATATTTATCGCACGCAGAGACTTTCCTCAACCCATGTTCTATGTGAAGAGCATGCGGCTCTATGGCAGCCTTTGCGGAGCAGAGCAGATGCCCTCAAAGCGTGCAAAGCGAGACGTCTTCGTCGAGGTGGGCGAGCCCTTCCAAACGGATGTGGTGCAACGTAGCATGCCAACGATTAAATTCTATCACGATTTCGACTGCGAGCTGGAGAGCTGTAGCTATGCTTTTGGCCCCTGCTGGGAACCCGTGATGGCCCAATGTAATTTAAGCTTTGAGAAGATTTCAGCACCATCCAAGGATCCAAGTCCACCTCTTCCGTTTTGGGATAAGATGCGTTTACTGCTTCATGGTCGCCTAACCCTGATTGCCAAACAGTTCACGGTGCTTCTGCACGCTTCGCTCGATCCTTACAACACAACTGAGGAAATGGAGCTGACATGGAACAATTGTGGTATTGTCTGGACAAATGCAAAGATTATGTTCAAGGGCGAGCTCAATGTAAGTGTGTGGATGGAGTCTTTTAGAGAGTCCTATAACACCAATTCTCTTAGGTGACGGTGCGAACTGCGTCTCGCTATGACGATTGTCGACTGCTGCATTTTCCTAACCTGAAGCTGACTTTCAAGCTGAACTGGATTTGTCTGGCCAATCCCAACGATCATCATGCTGTCATGCCCTGTGCACCCGACAAGCTACCGGAATATTCCAGCAACCAGGTGCATGATTCATTTCGGGCTTTCCGCTCGCTCAACCTCAATATCTGGGCATCGTTCGAGACGAAGCCCAAGGTGGCTGAAGAAATGGAAATCGATATACCCAGCTTGGTGCTGTACGGTAGCACGCTGCGCTGGTTTGAGAGTCTGAAGCTCATTCTGTCAGGCGTCACGCGGCCCACACGACGTGGTCCAGTCTTTAACAATGTGCGCCCACGCAAGAAGCAGCTAAGCCGGCACTACAAGAAGGCCAATCTGCAGATGTGTCTGCATAAGTTCCAGGTGCTCTACTGGATGTCCCATGCCCTGCACAAGGGCTTCCAGCTGAACGGACGTCGTGTATCCTTCAGCTCCGAGTACTGTCTGACGTTGAATACCATTGATGATGGTCTGATACATAGGCCACGTGCAGATTGGTCCACGGTGTATATGAACTGCGAACTGAATGATGCGGAGATCTGGCTGAAGAGCATAGTTACAGAAAAAATGGACAGCAGCTCTGAGAATTTGGCCAGTGCTGCCGATGCTTTTAAGATTGTGCGTTTCTACTTTCTGAGCGTGGCCAAGGTGTCCTATGGCAGGGAGGCACTGATGCCCATAGCGGCCAGCAATGCGGAAGAAGACGCAAAAGCCAAGAGCACAACGCCCACACATAAGCTGGTGGTATACGATCTAAAGGGCGCTTGGACCAAAAGCAATCGGGATGTGGCATTCGCTCTATTTGACTCCTTTATGAAATCGCAAAAGCTGAAGAACAATTTATCCACAGAGGCTGTCAAAAGCTATCGCAAGGAGGCGGCGAATTCGGCTATGTTGAAGCACAAGCGAAGCGATAGCACCATCACTCTGGCCAGCACCAGCACCGAGGTGTTGCCAAGTAGGTTTCCAAGTGATTTCCATGAAAATCTGTTAATGTATATCCTTTCCTTGCAGTTGCCAATGCGAATACCGCGCTGAAAAAGGCACCGGGTCAGATTCATGCCACCGCCATGCTGCAACAGCTTATCGCGGAGGCGGATCACAAGTTCAATGTGTACAGCGATGATCACAGTACACAATCGAGGGAACTGCAGCTGCAGGGATTGCAGGCCTGTTCCGCGCAGGATATTATACACGAAAACTGGTCCATCAGTCTAGTCAACTCTCAGGTATTACTTAAAGGCTGTGAGACATCGGGATATGTAATCATCAGTGCTGCCAAGGCAGAAATATTGCAACGCGAGCATCGACCCGTGTGGCGGGATCGTTCGCTCATCTCGAAGACGACGTGGAAGGGATTGCTAGAGTGCATGCAGTACTATGCAACAGTCAGTGCCGGCGACAACGACTCGCTATTGGAGAAGGAGATCATGTGGCTTACCGTCGACAATATACAGGACAAAGATGAGACGGTGATTAATAATCACCTGCCCGAGGACATCTCGCATCTGGTGGGCAGTGGACGTAGTGTGGGTGGCGTTGTTTCCGAAACCGTGGGTGCCTTCCTTAGCGACAACTCTGGACAGGCACAGCCGGTGCAGCTGCAGCGCATCGTGTCCAAATGTAAATGCGAATTCTTCTACGTAAGCTACGGCGATGCCATCGATCCGAATAACATTATTGAAGTGCCGCCGCCACCATCTGAGGAAACCTTGTCACCGTGGGAGAAGCAGGATGATCCCGTGGATGCCTTTACACTGATGCATCATGACCTGGACGTGTGCACCAATTCCCTACAGTACGCTATGATCTTGGATATAGTCAACAATTTACTGCTCTACGTGGAGCCGCAGCGCAAGCAGGCGGCTGAGAAGTTAACCCGCATGCGCTTCCAGCTGCAGCTGCACTCCACGGAGGATCAGAAACGGCCTATCCAGCAGAAGCAGACAGTCATACGCAGCTTGCTGATGAAGATACGCTCACTGGAGAAGGACATACACCTAATCAGCAAGGAGCGCATCGAGGAGGGCGACACGCTAGAGCTACGCGCTGAGTTTGAGCGAGTGCAGAAGCAGATTCGCGAGAGCAAGGAGGAGTTGAACACTTTCAGCGAGGAGCTGGACATGATGCTGCTGTGCTACAAGGAGACCCAGCTGTCCCAGCTCAGCAAAATCTCCAACGTGCGCTCGGACAAGTCAGTGACAATGGTGCGAGCCAACGAGATCTGCTTTAAGCGTGCCCAGTGGAGACTTACCGAAACCGATGGCCAGATTGGCATTGCAGATTTGGTGCTGAGTGCTTTCCTTTACACGAAAAAATCCAAGAGCGATGATTCCGTCGAGCATCTGCTGGAGCTGGGAAATATCCGAATGGAGAATCTGCTGCCGCGTGAAATATATCGTGACGTTCTGCTCGCTACGGAAATACAGAAAGACATGCCCGTGGATACGCATAAGCGTGTGCTACGCATCTTTTGCCGCGAGAAGCCGCCGGTTGGCGGCATTTCCGTAAAGGACCACTTTGAGATCAATGTGGCGCCCATTACCATAGCGATCACCAAGAAGTTCTACAGCACCATGTTGAAGTTCTGTTTCCCGGATCGCGATGCTTCCGAAACGGAGGTCAGCGATGAGCTGGATGACAATGCGTCCACCAGCTCAGCATCTACAACGAATTTACAGTCCAAGTCTGCATTATCGTCCAAACGTGTTGCCAAGAGCAAGAAGAGTGCCAAGGACTCCGAGTTCTATGTGAAAATCGAAAAGGACGATGTCGAAAAGATGAAGGAGCGCGCAGAGAAAAACAAACTCTTCATATATATCAAGATACCCGAGGTGCCGGTGCGTGTCAGCTACAAGGGCAACAAGGAAAAGAATCTGGAGGACATTACCGACTATTCGCTAGTGATACCCACGCTGGAGTATCACAATGTCACCTGGACCTGGCTGGATCTCTTGCTGGCCATGAAGTCCGTCAGCAGGCGCGTCATTCTCTCGCAAGCAATCAAGCAGAAGCTGCAAATCCATCGACGCCAGCCGGTGCTGTCGGCAGGTGAGCGTGCCACGCCCCAAGAAGAGGATAAAGCCAAAATGCTATTTGGCAATCGTTTGCTGGTAACTTGACATTAGCTGAAAACTAGAAATTGTGAACTGTTATTAATCCATGTTTATGTTGCAGAGCGAGAATCGAAACCAAAGAAAAAGCGGCGGCGTTTTCAAATTTCAATCAAGCGGCAAGAGAACAGATTAATGCCTTTATTCAAATCATATTTATTTATACATATATATATNTATATATTGATATATATCTAAATATGTATGTATATGCATATCGTATTACGTTTGGGAGACCCGATACAGGCCCGGCCAGGCCAGGCTAGGCCAGGGCACTTGTGATCAAAATATCGCAAGCCCTTTCAATTTATTTTTACAAACATACACACACACGCATACACTACAAATACAATCACAAGACACACATGCACACACCCGCAGCAGAAGTATTACGCTATATAAATCTATAAATATAAATAATGCATGTGTGTTTGTCTGTCTGTCTGCCTGTTTAACTATTATAATTAATTTTGTTGTATACTTCTTTTGTTTAACTTTAGCAAATAAACAGAGAGAAAATCTAGAATCAATTGAATTTTTAGTTTCGCTTTTTACATACAACAATGATATAGTAATAGAGGACTTTAAAACACTTAAATTAGCTAAATATGCACAGGATAACATTTACTTGGTCAGCTGCTTCAGCGGTGGCTGAAATGAAATTCAAGTTCATGTTGAGGCCAATATTTTGGATGACTATATATTCATATATAGGGTTTACTCACCAGCACAAAGACGCGCTTGGGTAGAGCTCGCTGCACCAGCTCGTCGAGCAGCGCATTTTGGCTGTCATGCTTTTGAGGATCAGCCTTGGTGTTGTACTCCAGCGTGAGGACGGGCAGCTCCTGCCAGGCCACCTGCAGCGGATACAGATTGTAGACCAGCTCTTTCTCATCATACGCCATTATCGAGACATCCAGCTGTGGTAGAAATCACATTGAATACCCTCAAAGAAATGTGAAGTGGACTGTGCTGCTAACTCACCTGCTTGTGGCCGGAGCATATAAAGTTATCAGATTTGCTAATAGACAACGTGGCTATCAGATGCAGGACGTGCATTGTTGGGTTCTTGAGCACCACCTTGAAGGCCATCGGCATTTTGACAAACATCTTCTCCTCGATGGTGCAGTATATGTTCAACGGCGGCTCCGCTATATCAAGGCCACTTATGATAAATTTAGATTCGTTCTCCTCCTTGCCGCCTGCTCGACGCCAGCGTATGCAGAAGACGCCAAAGCGAGGTATCGTTGGTGCTCCTGCTCCTGCATCCAAGGTATAGACGCCTTTGATGAAACCGCGACAATGGCCCGTAGCCTGCACCGCTTCCAGTGCCTTGTTGTACACGACGCGCATGCTCTTGTGCGCCTCCTGCCCACTGGCAGGCAGCGTAGTGCCTTCGTCCGTGCCCGCAACGGTTAGCTTGCCATCATCGGAATGCAGGGAGTTGCTCAAGGCGCCCACTGTGGATAGCTGCAGAGCATTGGGGTTATTATTGATGATGGTCATCGATGTGGGTATCTTGCCCAGGAGACTCTTGCTCATAAAATTACTCTGGGCAACATTTGGCGCCTGGGGCGGCGCATCTCCAGCTTGGCCGGCTGCAAGCTGTGTCTTCTGCTGGCGACTCACAAACTTATTGCTCACACTCTCCTCGGACTTGGAGCGCTCCAAATCCCGTGCAGTCGTCCAATCCTGCAGCGTGGCATTCGTGCGCAGCACGATGACGCTCTCCAGCTGATCCCCAGCCCTGTATTTGTTGGTATACTTCTTCCGCTTAAAGCTGTAGTTCGATTGCACTAAATTGTGATCCTGCAGAGAAAAGTTAACACGCTGCAACACTCTTTGGGGCTCGTTCACTTACACATATAAAGAAGCTGTCCAATATCTCCACCTCGTCCACGGCCACCACCTCCGTATTGGCGCGCAGCAAAAAGTTCTCCCCCCGATAGACCTGACTCAATGGACGACGGTTGAGTGTGTAGAACCGGGCATTGAACTTAAAGTCGCCGGCACAGCGCACGGTCAGGGTATCCTCCCGGGACTTGCGCAGCCTCGTCTCGTCCAGATACTCGATTTGCACGGGCGATATGACCGCCAGGCTGTTGGTGACCAGCTGGTTCACATGCTCGGGCGTTGTATCCGTGCTGGTGGGCGTGGTGCTGTGACCAGCTCCGCCACCACTTGCACTTCGATCCACATCCAGCGTATAGCTGAGTCTCTGCTGCAGCTTGATCTCTGCCTCCACCAGGCTGAATATGTAGTAAGTGGCGGTGTTGCTGCCATGGGCAGACAGTTCACCCACATCCACCTGGATCTGGGCGTGCAGCTTTTGCCGATTCGATGAAACATCCGTGGTGAGGAAGACTGTAAGAAAAGAAGAAGAAGATTATAATTACAGGAAACCCCTTATTTGAATGAATTGTTAATCAAAATATATAAATAAAAT